GCATATAGAATCCCGATCAATATTCTACACTCAAGAGCACGGTCTATCTTTTTTTTGTTAGTTAGTTATAACTAACTCTCGTCAGATCGATATTATTCATCAATTAATAAGCTCGGCGCTCATTGTAACCGCCGAGGCCGACTGACTTCATAGTGACAAATCATCGAGTGTGCTATCCGCCCATAGTATGGCACCTACCAGCAACACCGTGAACGGCGCATGCGTTAAATAGCGCCCTGGCCACGATGTGAATTCCCATGAGAAGTAACTGATCACAGCTGATACACATTCATCGGGTCTGCAATCCTCCATGACAGTCGCAATTCTCGTTACAGGCGCCACGGGCAAACAAGGCGGCGCGGTGGTCAACGCCTTGATCGCTCAAGATGGTGACGTCGAGATTTTAGCCGTGACTCGGAATACGGACTCGGCTTCCGCGCAGAAACTGGCCAAAAAGTCTCCCAAGATCAAGCTCGTCCAGGGCGACTTGGACGATCCGGCGACAGTTTTTGCGAATGCGAAGAAGGCCACTTCGCTGCCCGTCTGGGGCGTATACAGCGTCCAGGTATGTTGGGTACTCGATCCTCTTACGTGGGAAGATACTTATCGGGGGATAGACCGTGACACCCAAGGGCGGTGCCGAACTTGAAGAACACCAAGGAAAGGCCCTCATCGACGAATCCATCAAGCACCATGTGCAATACTTCGTCTACTCCTCCGTGGATCGCGGCGGCGATGCCTCGACCGACAATCCCACCAACATCCCGCATTTTGTCAGCAAGCACCGCATCGAGCAGCATTTGTTCGAGAAAACCAAGGATGGGGAGATGGAATGGACCGTCTTGCGGCCCGTGTTCTTCCTGGACAACATTGCGCCCAACTTCCTCGGCAAGGTGGCCTGTACGGCGTGGGATGCAATGTTGCAAGGAAAGCCACTGCAGGTCGTTGCCGTCAGTGATATCGGACACTTTGCGGCTCTCGCGTTTCTTCAAGAGGGCCGGTTCCGCAACCAGTGTCTCTCCCTGGCGGGTGACGAACTCACCTTTGAGACTTTTGCGAAGAAGCTCAAGTCGAAGACGGGGAAGAACCCGCCCACCACGTATCGGTTTATTATGTATATCATCTTGTGGATGTCGAAGGAGTTCTCGACCATGTTCCGGTGGTTCTATGACCACGGCTATCGGGCTGACATTGCAAAGTTGAAGAAGATCCATCCGGGGCTGAAGGATTTCGACAAGTGGCTGGAGGAGGACTCGGTCTATAAGAAGAAGTAAAAGTTGTGTTGCGTGTGGATATTTGGGGTGGTGGTAATTCTGTACTTAATGTTAATATCAAATTGCGGTGATTTTCCCTCACACCAAGTATACTGCATCAGACAAACCGTTCAACTTGCACCTCATCTTGGCATCAAACCTAGGCAAAACAACCAGCCGAGGCACCTAGCAGAAAATCAGCTAGAGCGGCAGTGAGATGTCCGCTTCAACCCCGGATGTCTGGGCATTTTCTTGGTTTCGATCCTATGTGGGGGGCGGGATGATACATGCCACTGTTACCCCGGAGAGCTGTGATGACCGTCGCTGAGTATATGCCATTGTGTTTAGATAGACCTGCAATTGCTCCGATATCCTTCTGTCGTAGCAGTAGATGTTACACTACCAGACTTTGCGGGTTGTACAATCCATGCCAACGCAGAAGTCTCGCTACTGATCATCTCCGTCACGCTTGGCAGACTGCAATTTTGTGGGACGCCACGATTCCCCCGCTCTAGTACAGGAGCCTTAAATGCCTTGATGAATGCCGGTGTTGAAGGTGAGACGCCACGATGAGGTGCCCCTCATCCCGCTCGGGGAGGACAAACACCTATATAAATCCGTCCTCAGAAGGGGAGTTTACGGGATGTGCCAGCCTTCTGGAACGTATTGTCTGTTATACAAAATGGCCGAAGGAAAACCTATGGACCCCGAAGCTCCCATGGCGAAGCAGATCTCCGCCGTGGAAGACCAGCCCACGGAAGAAGAACGCCGTCTGGACAAGGAGACGCTCAGGCGACTCGATCTCTTGCTGATGCCCATGACTCTGATACTTTACCTGCTGGCTTGGTTGGATCGTGCTAATGTCGGAAACGCACGAGTGGTATGTCCTTTATGCGTTTCTTCGATGCATTAAGTACTGAAGCTCTCACAGGCAGGCCTCGATAAAGACCTTAATCTGTCCGATTATCAGTACAAGTGTGGTTGGTACCAGTCCATTCCTCTGTCTATACTACGATACTAACATTCAAAGCCATCACTGTGACATATGTACCCTACATCCTCGCTGAGCTTCCATCCAACCTCATCCTCAAGAAAATCGGCCCTCGCATCCTCCTTCCCACCCTCTGCACCGCATGGGGTCTCGTCACCGTCCTGCAATGTCAAGCGAAGAACTTCGGTGGCTTCGTCGCCTGTCGTTTCTTCCTCGGCCTGTTCGAGGGTGGCCTCTTCCCGGGCATCGTGCTCTACCTCTCCGGCTTCTACAGACGCCACGAACTCCAAGTCCGCATCGCCCTCTTCTTCTCCGCCGCCTCACTGAGCGGCGCATTCTCTGGCCTCCTCGCCGCCGCCATCCAACAAATGGACGGCCTGCGCAACCTCCGCGGCTGGCAATGGATCTTCATCCTGGAAGGCCTCTTCACCGTGTGCTTCGGTCTCTTCTCCTTCTTCATGCTGCCCAACAGCCCCGCTAACGCCATCACCCTCCGCCCGCTGCATATCGACCGCTGCATCGCCCGCCTCCAGCACGACGCCAACCACTTCGAGTCCGAAAAGGTCACCTTCAAGAAGGTCGTTTCGGTCCTGGCCGATCTGCACGTGTGGGTCGCCTGCGCCGTGCTCTTCTGCAGCGGCGTGTGTCTGTTCGGGCTCGCGTACTTCTCGCCGTCCATCGTCCAGGCCCTCGGCTACAGCAACACCAAGACCCAGCTCATGACCGTCCCGCCCTACGTCTGCGGCTTCGTCGTCACCATGATCGTCGCCTACATCGCCGACCGCTACCAGCAGCGCGGGCTGTGTGCCCTGGCGACCAGTGCGATTGGGCTGGTTGGTGCGGCGCTTATGCTTGTCGGTCGGGGGTTTGGGATCCGCTACGCGGCGCTGTGTCTCCTTGTCACGGGTATCTATGCGTGCGCGCCGTGCCTGATCAGCTGGGTTCCGAATAATAGTGCTGGGTATAACCGCCGCGCGACGGCTGTCGCGATGGGCTTCATTTCGACGAGCAGCGGTGGCGTGCTGAGTACTTGGATCTATCCTAAGAGCTCCGCGCCGTACTATAGCCTTGGTGCCCGGTTCAATCTTTCACTGGTGGCGATTGGCATGGTGCTTACCGTGGTGCAGATCCTGCTCCTGCGAATCCTGAATAAGAAGAAGGAGACGCATCGGGCACGCATTCTGGAGGGCTTGGAGCATCTCACGTATGAGGAGCAGTTTGAGCAGCTGGGTGATCGCCACCCTAACTACCGGTATACTTACTAGATGAATGGAGGGGTTGACTACTTTGATAGACATAGATGCAGCTAATTTGGAACATAACATGACTCGTGTCTTTTCTGCGACTTTTTCCTCTAGTATTGTGCTTGTTCTTGTTGGGATTGGAGAGTATACCCCACAGGGTATCTCCGGTGCAGCGGAGACGATGGCTTGCTCCTGTAGGGATCTAGACCGGATCTCTGCCTCGCTAGAGGATGCACACTATGCGCTCCTACAAGCCAAGAAACTCGGCGTCGTTCTCCCTATTCCTGGGGGAGACGGGTTTCTGAGTCGGCATCTGTGGGAACTGGCGTGCCTTTCGGCATTGAGAAATGCGCTTGATACCGCCGCAGGGCTCTTTGAGTGCGCAGTATTGAGGTCATCTCTTCGCTAGCTGTAGTAAAACAACGCCTTTCACTCCACACGTGCCATTGAGAGTGTTCTTTTAGGTCCAAAGCAAGGAATAAGGTTGTATAACAGAAGTGACAACGCCGAACAAACTAAAGGGAGAGAAAGTAGCATTATTTCGCGAGGTTATGACGCTCCACGCGAAACATAGTCATGGTCTGGACTTCAATCAGGATCATCGTAGATCGTCAGGCCTGTAGTGCACTCGCGTAAAATATAGAAACCGCGGAATGTATATAGTTGTCAATCTTCGACGGCTGGGTCATGGCAAGCTATCATTCGGTACAAACTAGCATGAACGCCTATCCGCCCAGTGATATGGACATGCAATCTCTACGTTTTGTCCCGAAGTATGGCCGAGTAGATCCATTGGACATGTTTCTATTTTAATTACATTGAGTCCATGGATAGGTAGGTATTATCACGTGACACTAAATATCTGCCTGGATCGCCCAAGGCGGATAAAAGGGAACGAATACGACGATCTACTAGACACCACTCAATTTGCAGCAACAACCACCCATGGAGGACATCGCTGTACGAAGCAAGATTCGTTCTCGGCGAGCGCATCATAAGTCTCGGTTAGGATGTAAAAACTGCAAAAGGAGGCGCGTAAAAGTGAGTGTTTCCCACATTCTGTCCTACATTTGCAAAGCAGACTCAGCAGGAAACACCAATATGACAAATATTCTACGCTCTTTGCTCTGTTTTGCATTTATCCGTCGGAATAAACCATACGAAGACACTGGGAAATATGCTTATATCCCACAGTGCGACGAGAAAAAGCCATCATGCACGAATTGCCAGCAACACTCGATCGAGTGTGATTTCGCAGATTCAGCGTCTGCATCACCGTCTTCTTCAGCGAGTCTATCCAGCAGACGATATCGGTTCAAACAGTCCACATATAAACCAGCTTTATCTCCTAAGGACACCGGGCAACGGACTACGACGGTATCAAGTGGTGTCCAGTGCGACCTACCGGTTGACTACGGCAGCAGCAGCATCTCAATGGCAGACCTCCAGCTCTACCATCATTATCTCACATCAACCTACAAGACCTTAGTCTACGAGCCTGAAGACGTGCATAATGTGTACCAGAAACACATTCCACAGTGGGGCTTCACATTCCCTTCCGTTCTGCACCTCATGCTCGCGATATCCGCGCTGCACCTTGGCTCCGAGCAACCCGAGCATCGTGAACACCACTTCAGGCAAGCGGACGAGCACTTTACCTTCGGCGTGCGATCCATCACATCAATCCTGACCCAGCTCAATTCTGAAAACTGCCAGATGATCTATGTCTCGGCGGTGCTCATCTGCCTCGTGTATTTCGGCCACGGGCCGCCTCCCGGCGAGTATCTTGTCTTTAGTGAAACAGGAAAGGCGGAGTGGTTGGTTCTCATGCGCGGCGTGCGGTCTATCCTGGAGTCCCGGCGTCAGGAGATCTTCACGGGGATCCTGGAGCCGGTACCAGGTCCCAGAGTGGACGAGATCGATCCGCTGTTACTGGATGAGCTTGAGATGCACAAACGGCACATTCTGGATGTCAAGCAATTCATCAAGCTCAATGTGGTCGATGAAAGCACTCGGGACATGTGTGTTGCCGCGTGTACGAATTTGCTGTCGACCTTTGAGGAAGTGTACAAAACGCGCACGTTGGGACGGGATGGTATATGTCTGATGGCTCCTGTTATCGGATGGATTTATCGACTGCCAGAGTCGTTTGTGAGTCTCCTGGAAGGCAAGAATGCTTTTGCGTTGGTTGTACTGGCGCAATGGAGTATTTTGCTGCGGTATATGCAAAGTTCGTGGCTTATGGTGGGATGGGATAGACATGTGGTTTCTGGGATTCACATGTCTTTGAGAGGAGAGTTCCATCCGTGGGTTGAATGGCCATGGAGTGTGATTTATGCTTAGCTGTTCAAATCCAGTACTGTACTATATCGTAATCATGTACATAAAATTTAAATGATTGACACATCTACAATATACAGAACCCCAACACCTACACTCTTTGATACCCCGTCAAAGGAACATCCGCCGAACACCTCTCCTCCATAGGCCCACCCAGCATAGATGCACTCGCCTTGTTGGCTCTCCTTGCATCCCTAACCAACTTCCCTGGATGCCATAATCCCAGCACACCCATACAAACCGCCATCAATCCCGCATCAAACACATAAATATACACCTCCTGCGTATTCAAAACCGACCCCTTAGGCGCCGCAAACTCCACTGTCCGCACAAGATTACGCACCATCATCGCCAGGCAAGACACATACAACGCCCACATATACCGCCTCCACCCCAGCTGCGGATTCCGCGCCGCCGTCGGGGTAGGCTCACTCACCAGCCGGCGGTGAAACACCCCGGCCACCCAAATAAAGACACAAAACACGACCAGCGAGAAGACCAGTCCGGCCAGGACGGCTTTCCGGCCGATATCCATGACGTGCTCGTCGCCCGTGACCTGCACACCTGCGCCGGCAATCTGCGTCAGGAAGCACAGGACGTCGTTGATCACGAAGATGGTCGTGAGCCGCTTTGTGCGGATGACGGAGAGGTGCTCGGCGTCGAAGGCGCGGATGATCCGGCCGAGCACCATGTAGATTGTTGCGGCGACGAAGGGTGGCGCGCAGAGGATGAGGATTTGTTGGAGGGCCCAGGAGCCGATGCGTGTCCGGTCTGTGTGGGACCAGGCGCGGCCGTAGTAGCCGAATGCTTCGCCTAGTTCTGTTAGAGATCGGGTTTATGTGATGGGGAGGGGGTGTCAACGGACAGATTCCTCCGATTATGAGAGGTATGAAGTAGGCCGCGCGGAAGGGAAACATGAGGAATATGTGGATGGCGGTTATGAGGCCGAATATCACGACGAATGCGTAGCCTGCTGGAGCTGAGGGAGCGTAGGGGTAGAAGTCGACCCAAGGGTCGGTGCCATTGGTGCCTGGATGGAAGGTGAAGTCCATGATTGTAGGAATATGGTTGCTAGAATGTATGAAAGTGAGATTTTGATGACATGAAAGCCTTGATTGAGCTGGCAGCTCGATTTATATCTTGTTCTAGAGCCATTCCTGCACTTTGGCGATATTACTCTTTTAGGAAATTCTCAAACGAATACGATGGATCAGCGGACAAGCTTTGCGTCCACGTCGGGAATATCACAAGTGGAGTAGAGGTAAACATCATCTAATTTTAGCATACATCTTCACTATTCCTGGGATTTTACTATGGAAATACAGCAGATCGCCTATGTCTGTTCATCAACCTGTGGTAGATATGATTGTATCAACGGCGCTTGTCTCAGATTTGCCGCTCATGTACAATATTCCCGAGCTGATCGCTTGGTAGTAACTCTTTCATTGTCATTCTAAGTATCTGCCTATATTTGAATGTTTCAGCTACTGAATGCAATATAATCCCCAGCCCATAACACGTGCGAGCTGCATTTATCCAATAGCATGCATGAACAAAGATACAGTACGTCTACGATAGCACAACAACTTCCGGGTATTGCATATATTCGTCTAGTGCGCAAAAGCTCTATTCATTACTCTGATAACACGTCGTTGATCATAATTCATGCGGACTTGCCAAAGACCTTGAAGCGGCCGTCCAGAGGAGCAAACTCCTTCGGACCGGGCTCGCCGGCGGGGGTACCGAAGACAAGCTGGGCATCCAGCTTCCAAGAAGAAGGCAGGTTCCACTGCTTCTGGACCTGCTCGTCGATCAGAGGGCTGTAGTGCTGGAGGTTGGCACCGAGACCCTCGGACTGGAGGGCAGTCCAGACTGCGCGTCGTTAGAGCTGGAATTACTACTCAAATGCGGCAGAGGAAACATACCAAGGTACTGAGACATGGCGTTGGACTCGAGCGCAAAAGGATCGAACTTGTCGGCGTAGATGGCGAACTTCTCCTTGATAGGAGCCAGAGACTCGTAGTCGACGAAGAAGAGGACCTTAAGTCTGTCAGTGTGGTTATTCTTACAGCACAACGCATGGCAAAACTTACAGTTCCGTAGGCACCACGGAAAGCCTCGAGCTTGGGCTTGGTGTGGTTCTCGAACATCTCCTTGGGGACGGTGCCGGCGGCAACCAGACCCTCCATGATGCTGATAGCAATGTCCCACACCTTCTGGTGCTCCTCCTTCAGGAGAAGGACGACACGCGAGGTCTGGGTGTTGAAGGAGCTAGGGACGTGCAGGACCGCATCCTGGACGATCTTCTCAATGGCGGCGTCGGAGATGGGGCTCTCCGCCTTGAGGGCGTAGTGAGTGCGACGAGCCTTCACCAGATCCAGCAGAGTGGAGGTGGCAGGGTTCTTGAATTCGACCTGGACGGAGCCCATTTTGAGCGATGTTGGTGATATTGGTGATTTTGTTGGAGAGTAGAAGGAGATGATGCTGCAGGCGAGTTGATAATGGTTCGATTGAGCCTGGGGGGCTCGGTTTATATAAATGCGACTCCATAGTGAGCCCACTATAGTCCCGCCTTATTCTTCGGATGCTCCGCCATCGACGGCCAATAGTAAGCGGAAGACGGAGATTTCTAGCGCCGAGGCCGGTTTGTCAACGATTAATAATGCGGGTCTAATGCGGAAAGGATGATAAATCACTCGGAACAATGCCGCCAGGGAGGAAATTTCACTAGAATATTCTACGGAGACGGAGTACTCGATGGGGCATTCGGAGGACCAGAACATGTCCACAAATAGTAGTTATTAGGGCTGGTTAACCCTTGTACTGTAGTTTCTATGAAGATACTCCATTTCTCTAAATATAATAGTTGCTTAGTAGCTGTGCTAATTCCTACGGCCCGGCAGGCCAATGCCACTCCGTTAGTATGTGAAGCTTGGCACCGCTGATTAGGTTTGATAAGCTTAGCGGGCACTTCAGACGCGCCAACGCGTATATACTTTGTTTACCACATCACGCTCCCATCCTATCTATACCATCATGACCGCAGGTCCCAATTCCAGCGCAGGACGCATCTCCAAGAAAGCCACTCATTCTCGTCCATTCAATGAGTCCAATATCGCTGCGCTCGAACGAGAGTTGGATGCCCCGAATGGCCAGCTGCAACACCAACGAGAGACCCATCCACGCTTAGCTCATGCAGCTCACCCCAAGACACTTAATGATGAGCAAGAAAAGGACCTAATCAAATGGATACGACGGGTAAAGGAGATATCCACCCATCCCACCGCGACTCAAATCACGACAAGTGCGGACCAAATTCTCAATCGCGACGGAAACAACACTACCATTAGCAAGGCTTGGGTTGATCGATTCATCAAACGCCTACCGGACGACCTGAAGCCGTCCAAAGAACGTCTACGTAAAAAGACGCGTCTTGATCCATCAGATCGGGACAAGTTGCAGCATTGGTTCGACCGTTTGAAGTCTCTTATCGACGGCGTGTCGCCCGCGAATATCTACAACTTTGACGAAACCATCTTCCGAATTGGGGAGGGAACGGGCCCTCGATGGTACGTCACCGCGAGGGACAGTGATTCGCCGCCTCCCTTCTTCGATAGAACATGGACAGAATGGATCACCACGATCGAATGCGTCGCTGCCGATGGGTGGGCAGCGGATCCGTATATTGTCTTCCAGGGTGACTATTATCTCGAAGATTGGTTTGAGGTGGAAGGGATCCCTGATCAATATACTTTCAATACGAATCCAAGCGGTCGGATCACAGAAAAAGCTGCTTCAAAATGGATCCAAATTTTCCATCGCCAGACCAAAGACCGCGTCCAAGACAACCAGCCACGGATCCTGCTCTTTCGAGGTCTACCTCAATACTTGGGTTTCAACTTCTTGCAATTCTGCGAGCAACACCAGATCATTCCCGTTTGCTTTCCACCACATATCGGACATCTTATGCAGCCGTTCGACGACAAGGCTTTTCGAAGTTACAAGCAGTATTGGAAGAAGAAATATTACCTCTGTCCACCTGATGATGCCGACGACGAGAAAACGGATTTTATGCAGAAATTCTTCCCTGTTCGTGAGGAAGCATTGAAGCCTCAGGTCATTATGGACGCGTTTGCGGACAAGGGCATATTTCCGTTTGACCCATCCAAGATAGAGTCGCTTTAACAAGATGCCTCGCATGGTTCTAGTAAACCATTTAAGTATGATCGGCAAGGCATTATGACTGTAAATTATCTCTATATTACAAATACGAGGTTCATCCAAAATCCAGTTCTATCTCGTTCACATGAGGGTGTGGATAAGCTTATTCAAAGCTGGAAGACATGCACATATCAGCCCCAGTCCGCCCTCAGCGTTACTAGAACAAACACAACAGTTAGTCCTTTGGGAGACGTAATATTGCGGGAAGAACCCCATACTCTGTAAGTAAAATCCTCAGAATGAGTGACATATCCTGAGGGTTGTCGAATCCCAGGCAGAGGAGAACCAGCCGGTATAAACTAAAGGCGACAGCGATGCACCCTGCACCAAGGATACATACAACGCCAACCTTCCTTGAAGTTGCTATCGGCAGCGACCAGATGAAGCCGATCGGAAAAATAAGGATAGCAAGATCAGTTAACACACTGATGATTGAATCGGCGACGATCACGGCGGACTTATTCAAACAAGTAGCTTTGTTGTCTTCGCTCTCCCAGTAGGCGCGGATGGGGTTGCAGATGAAGATTTTGGCAAAGAAAATAGCAATATAGTAGAATATAATGAGTATTATGAAGACGTGGATATATGTGAAATGATTGTTGTGGGGTTGGAAGACGCGGATCAGCATAAATAGTAGGGCAAGTTTGACAAAGAGAATCATAGGGACATAGAAGAAGGCAGCGACATAGAATACCTTGCCAATGGTGAGAACTGATCAATAGCAAGCCTTTGGAAGAGACATTCTCACTTTATGCTTCGATTGCAATTGCTCTGTTGTCATTTCATGCTTTGTTGTAATTGCGCCATTGATATATGTGACTGTTGTATAGCATGTGTTAGTCTACCGCGTGGAGTGTTGATGCAGTGTACCTTACATATCAGAGTGCAAGTACAGTGTCCCATGTAGAGTCCCTTCAACTGGTGTTAACGCTTGCTTAGCCGCAGTTCTGGCCTATGTAACGTACCCAGGCGATGAAGCACAGTACTGAGAGGATCTCTTAGCATGTTTCCAGAGTACAGGGCGGTGTACCCACCATCTTCAACTCCGAAGAATAGTCGTAACCTTTGCTTGATAACGTACCGGGAAGAGACAAAGATGGTGATGACAATAACGCAAAGAATTTGAGTCGCAAGACTGATAGAGGTGATGTTCATTTTGGAAGTATATGGGGTATGGTGGGCCATTGTCGGCTACATCATTCGAAGCCAAGTGGACCTAGGGGCAATATAGATGACAGTGATCCCAAATGTCCATAGATGGACAATCAGGTTGACCTGAATACGAACTACTGGGGCACTCCGCATCATTGCTTGAACTTCGTCGGCAACCGCCGGGGTAGATTTATGGTGTTGGGAAAAGCAAAGGTCAGTATATTGCAAAGGTCATCGACAGCTATAGAGTTTCTCAAGGGTTCTGCTAAGAATAACGAGAACCTGTGCACTCTGATCTTCGCCGGTTCCTGCACAAGATCAACACGGACGAGGTCCAAGCCCCAATCATATTACTTTCCCTTCTCGCAGCACGCCGAACCCCGAGCCTCATGGACAGACAAGTCCATTCGTTGTACCTCTCTTTGAGCATGAATCGGACTTGATGATTATATTGGACGCAGATATTGCTACGTGGTGGGAATATGCTCGGCGGGCAGGTGAGTGAAGTTTTCATTGTGCTGATGGCGGCGAAGCTGTATGAAAGCCGAGGAACCGAATCAAAGGAATCATGCCAACTCCACCACCGAGTAGTTCCCTATGGGTCCGGCCTCCTTAGCCTTCAGCTTGGCTCCGAATTAGCTAATTACTTCTCAATTACGAGCCTTTCAAGATATTCATAGGCTACAGTATCTGGCATCATACTTTATGTTAGTAACATTCATTGGTGTAGGACCACAAGCTAACCAATCCTATACGTATCAGATACGCATTACGTCGACCTTTACTGCGTTGACTGTCAGTCATCTGAATCCTCCTTCGATTCCTGAGTGATTGTCATCCAGGACAGTTATAACCCTTAACACAGAGAGTTCTAACTGCGTTTAATAGTAATGATATATTGAATTGAGTTGTGGAATAAGCAGTCCTAAGGTGTCCTTGTGAGAAACATCGTAGTTCTGTAGAATTAACATTGGGTGGTGCTTTCACTGTTGAGATATATAATAAATACGGCCCACCTTATGCTATGCCTAAGCGCCCTTTCTGGCCACTTTCCAGATAAAGATACCGTACACTATACGTGATATCTCCAGCACTTACCATTACTGTTAATGATTTCTGTTGCAACGAACCTCAAACTAAGAACTGCCGAGTACATGCAGCGTAAGCGCCTTATACTTTTGAACACCCTCCAGCAGCTCGGACACTTCGATCTGTTCATTTTCGCCGTGCGCGACGAGAATTGACCCAGGTCCGTACAGGTACTTCTTATGATTGCCCTTGAACCGAGGGACATCTGTTCCGTACGAGACCGGTGCAGTTTCGAACCCTACAGATATGAGCATATAAACCGCCCAGCGAGGAAAACATACCTTCAACATCATGATCGAGCAAAGTCTCTGGATATTCAAACTTGAACTCTAACCGAACATTTGGATGCTTCGCTGCTGTATTCGCCACGATCTTCTTAATCCCTGGCATATCCGTAGCAATGCGCACGGCGCAAAGCGCCTTGCTAGCTCCCGGCACGATGTTGTAACTCACACCACCCTCGAGCTTACCAATGTTAAACGTCGACGGACCGAGAAGGGGCGAATCGGGGAATTTCGTGTTGAGAAAATCATTGAGCGCCTCCACCAGCGCAATATTCGCATTGACCCCATGCTGGGGATACCCGGAATGGCTGGCCACCGCTCATCAGTCAACCTGCGCAACGGGAATGCATACGATGATCCACGATCCACATACCAGGCCTTTCCCTCTCCAATCAGTTCAAACACCAAGTGCCCCTTGTGTCCGACGACCAGCTTCCCCTCCGTCGGTTCCCCAAACACCACCCCCTCAAAGCTGAGGTCATGATTGTTGGCCGCCAGCATGCCGGGACCGCCCTTTTCCTCTCCCACGACGAACAGCAGCGCCACATCGCCTTCCTTGACGCGCCCTTCGGCCCGCAGCTCCTCCAGCGCACAGATCTGCGCCGCCATCGGGCCCTTATCGTCGCAGGCGCCACGCCCGTAGATCGTCGACCCGTCCACGCGCAGCGGGATGTGCGGTGGAACGGTGTCCATGTGCGAGGTTAGACAGGCGCGGGTTTTGCGCGTAGAGCCCAGATAGGCGTAGACATTTTCGCGCGAGGAACCTTCGGCTATGGGGATGCGTTCGACGGTGTAGCCTAGGCTTGTGAGGTGCGTGTCGAGGAAGAGGGCGATTTCTTGTTCGTGTTCGCTGGTGCTTTGGACCTGAATGAGGTCGTGGAGGAGAGACACTACCTTTTCGGGCATTATTCGTGGGATATGAGTCAACGCGCTCTATGATCGTGCAAGTCGTATAAGAATGAAGGGGTTTACGGGCGTGACGAAGTGGCTGATATCAAGATCAGATCGGTGCGGGGCATGGTTACATACCCCACATCGCATCACCGGTGACGTGCACTGCTGTCTGGCACCGTTTGGAGTGTATAGATGTGCATGATGAGCCTCATAGAAGGTATTGTCTTCAAGAATGGAGTTTACTATACAGGAAGGGTTGCATTGGGTCGTCTAGAGCAACCGATGCAAGCTAACGCCCGTGCCTGAATGGCGCATTGTGATTCACTCGTGATCGACCCCGCTTATGCGCCGATATAAGATAAGAAGAAGACACGTTCTCCTCCATCGCCGCTCTCAAAATTACAAGAACAATGGCTTCTCTAACACTGTCGAACAATCTCAAGTCTCCATCGAACAATGGGGCTAGACTCTTTGAGTCTCTCGCGGCTTATCTGCAGCCCTCCAACACAACACCGGCTGCAACCATCGCAGATGAGATCAACCAGTCCGCACTCAGCCAATTAAGGAGCGCTGAACCAGACATCGAGCCCTTTCTTTGGGAGATATGGAAGCTTTTTATTGCCATTGCGAGGCAGATTCCGCCCGACCATCCTTCCCAAGATCGATTGGTGGACGTCGTCCAAGCTCTAGTGGATATACCCCCAACTACGATACGCTTATGGGAGGCGAGTGAACATGTGTCCGCATGCATGGAATCGGCTAACATTAACCCAGGGGGATACACGTCTGTGGACGGATCTACCCCTGCTGGGTCCGAGCGTGCGAGAGGCGTGGACTTGTGAGTCTACCCTGATGGTACCCATACCAAGGAAACAATGAATAATAACTGATCTACAGCTCCAACATCGGTTACCAACAATCCGTCCGAGGAAGAGATGGCTGCATGGGTTAACCTGAATGCCTTTGCCGCACGTCTCTTCGCCCTCGACTCCGTATCGTGGCCCAATTTTGCTGTCTGGACCTTGCGAGCGGCCCTGGAAGAGGAAATCTCTGGCCACAAAGTCGAATGTGACGTAAAAGCGGCCGCACAATGGATTGTACGATGTGGAAGTACCATCTTCCGGCATACCGCCACAGCGATAGAAACCAAATCGTTCCGCGGTGGCTCACTATACAACGGACCCCCTTGCATTTCGATGGAGAGATGGACCTTCTGGAAGCAGCGCTTCGGCGAGATCTCGGCGTCGGAGGAATCTCTAAGGGAGACGTGTCTGATGGCGAAGAATGCGATGGAGAATATCGAAAAAGCTGGGTAGTCTGCAGTGGAGGTCCGTCCCAGGCGGAGGAACTACTTGATAGACACATTACCCACTTTCTCCGGGGCCACACTGCAGAACTGCGCGGATAGAAAGGAATAGAATCGGACATAGGTTCTTGATGTGGAAGTCGTCTTCCGGTCCCTGCGAGGCGAATATCATGCGGCCATGCGACCCAGCGCCACGGAATACCCAGTCTCTTTCGGTGTATCCGGCAGGGGCTCTGGCTTGATTTTTGGAAATAGGTACAGACCCGAATATGATGTTAGTGGAATGCAAATGTTAGTCCTACGTGGGTCTGGTCTATGTAATGTTGTAGGCTTCGCCGCTGCCATTCGCTTTTGGACAGTAGAATTTCAAGATCGCATGGAAACTATTTCCTCGCCAATCTCATAGATCGTCCGGAGGGACCGATCCGAGGGACATGCTGACGCCGGCCGAAGTTATGATCTGGAGCAGTGGGTTGAGCCAATAATGCTTGCCACCACCACCAGCACGACAGAGTTGCGGGATGATATCAAGACTCGATGGTTCGCCTTCAATGTATATGAACTAGACCGTATGCTCTTCTAATTCATGGCTAGCACGGCTCTACACCACTTGTGTTCCTGGCGAATATCTCGAGGAGAATTGCTATATTGTGTTCATGTGTGTGTCTTGGCAGATGCTTCAAGAAATACCACGCACCGAGCATGGCATTGTGAACAGGTCCTGGGTCTCGCTGTCATTTGCGCTAATCGCGTACACAACACCACTTGGAGTGTCTATCCAATGGGTGTCCACTGGAGGGCGACTTATATCGCGGTCCCTATCGCGGGATCGTGTATAGCGACGATCTTCTTTGCCTTGCGGTTATGGAGTCGCTACTTGGTGAGACGGAAGTGTGACGTCGGGGACGTTTTCTTGGGCCTTGGACTCCTATTCTGCCATGGAATATCTATATGCACCATCCTGAGTGGGTCTTTTGTCGATTTCGATCTGCCGATGGCTAACAAGAGCAGTCGGCTTCAATGGCATCGGCGGAGACATCTATTCTTTACCCCGGGAGACTCGCAAGCGAGTGACACTGGTACAGCCCTGCTGTGGTCCTACATATCGATTGTGGCATGCTAACAAGCAAAGATATTCTGGATCATTCAGAAGTTCTGGCCTTTGTCTCAGCTATGCGTGAAGGTGTCCATTATCATCCTGTTGCGTCAACTCCTCGGCATCTTTGGACGAATACGCCTGGCTACTACCATTCTTCTGGTCTTCACGGTCGCATGGAGCATCACAGCGATTGTAGCCGATACACTGCAGTGCCTACCAGTCCGGTACTTTTGGATCAAGAGCATTGACGGCTACTGCATTTCCGGACAAGCAGCGCTGTTCATCAGCGTCGGCGCACTTTCGCTCTTGGAGGATATAGTCCTGGTCGTGCTACCAGTGGCTGTCGTGTGGCGGCTAAAACTGGCTCGTCCACAGAAGATCCAGATAACGCTGCTGTTCTCGGCGGGTGTCATGTAAGGCCTTCCAGCGCTTTCAATCAACCTATCCTAATTGCAAACAGAACATGTGTCTTCAGTCTCCTGCGCCTGGTCGAGTTTCCCAACTACAAGACCGGGAACCTGACACGTACGTTGGTGCATTCGTCTACTCACTACAGTGCAGTAATTGACCACGCCCAGAGAGCGGAACCCTCGAAACCATCTACACACTCGTTGAACTTTTCCTCGCTATCATGTGTGCCTCCGTTGTTCTCATGCGGCCCGCCGTGCAACTCTGTCTCCGGGGATGCGGATGTTTCCCCCGCCGCGGACCACAGGAGAAGCCATCATCTCCCTCGTCAGACTTTGCTCACCTGTTTCCAGAGTTTGTATATGGGACAAACTTCAATACCCGTTCCCAGGATGCGTATTCGGAAGTCCGGGCACGGGCCTATCGCACGCCTACGTTGGAAATGAGCCAGAACCTAAGTGACCTCGCGGTGCATGGGATTGTCGTAGAGACGTCGATAGACCGGGATGTTCGGGATCGAGAAGCCATTCTGGCTACCATTGGAGACATGGGCTCAATTGGACGGTCCACGTTTGGGGGGTCAGTTCGAACTGGATCGGTTGGGTCGTTGCACAAGTGATTGTTCTGCGAAAGCGAAGCGGGTCCGACAATGAGTGTCTACCTTACAGCGCTGGTCGTTGTTTTGGTGGTCATAGTATATAGATTCATTTCTGTCCATAGTGTCCAACCATCTAGAGTAAACGCATTAGATCAAGACATTCATCATATTACTTTGGTATAATTTTCCTGTTTCCAAAATGACTTGTTCAGGTTTCAGAACAAATCATAAGAACTGCTATAGACTGTCGCTTCCGGTAAAGACGACATGCATTGATTCTCAGTCACTAATATCGTGGCTGTCAGTGGCTGGATCCTACCCGCATGTGAATGTGAATGTCGTATCTTCTTCGTATAGATCTGACCCAATCGCAAGGCTTCATAACAAGAACTCGACAATACGTGGTCAGTGATTCGGAGTCAGCCTGAAGAAACCCCCCTCGTACGATGCCGGTTCTCCAGTTCCGATAAAGTATGTCGCTAAATCCTGCAAGGTCTATCCTCGGCTATCTACCGTCTGCCGTCGAGCGATTGCTAATCCTGCAATGCGGGCGTTCGCGCGTATTGGGGATGATCGGCATCCCCCGCGGCCTTCATCCTCGGTCCGCCGAGCCGTGGTGATCTACGCATATGACTCCACTAGCCATCGCCATCTTTATTCCTTTCACTACGGGGATAGTGGTGGTCTGACGGATTCAATGAACATCCGGGGAACGAGGTTGCTATCATGCGCGTGTAGGTGGATACGTCGTGGTGTGTATAAAGACAGCATGGCAGAGATGGACTGTACTATGTACTTTATAGCGTCTTGGGTGTAGAGCGGCCATCGAAAAACTTACTCATGGACAAACAGATAACTTTTGTGATCGCAGCGGTCAAGGAACTCCCTATCCGGGCGCTCATAGCGACCCTCTGGAAGAGCCCTGCCAGGCGTGCTGCTGTAGCGGCGACGCTGGTCGCGACATATCTCGCTGCATGTGCCTCGCTGCGTTTTCGGAGACTGCGAAGCATCCATAAAGCATATCCTCAGTATGCGACCCGCGAGGGCATGGCCCGAATGACGGCGCACGATGCGTGGGCTATACAGAAACGCATCCTGCAACTGGAGTTTCCTTCTGTCTCGCTGAAGGCGCTGCAGTTTGCGCTCTTCCGCGTACGACTCCGATCAAATCAACACGTTTCAACCGACAGGCTAATGACGGAGTAGACATATGGCATCCCGACAATCTCGTCCCTGCTCCTTCGCACTTCCCAGTTCTCCAACCCCGCGACGTCTTTCAAGCGCTATGCCGACACAGGCGCTCTCATCGGGCAGTTCATGTCTTTCGATCCTTCTTCCGAGCGAGCGATCACGTCCATCGCCCGAACAAAGTTCCTGCATACAGGCTATCGCGCGAGCGGAAAGATCCTCGAAGCAGACATGCTCTACACTCTGAGTCTCTTCGCCATCGAGCCCATCCGGTTTGTCCAGATGTTCGAATGGCGATCCATGAGCGACCTGGAAAGATGCGCCATCGGCACGTACTGGAAGCGACTAGGCGACGGCCTGGGCATCAGCTTCGACGACCTCCCATCGGGCAAGACGGGCTTCCGCGACGGGCTGCATTTCCTCCAAGAACTCACCGAGTGGAGCCACAAGTACGAGGAAGAGCACATGAAGCCCAGCGCGGCAAACAAGGAGGTCGCGGACAAGACTATGGACGTGCTTGTGTATGCGCTACCGAAACCCCTCAAGCCCGTTGGCGTCAAGTTCGCGTCCTGCGTGATGGACGAGAGGCTAAGGACCGCCATGATGTAAGACTAACCCCCCGTACAACGACGAATTTCATCCTAATAGTTCTCTAGGTACGATGAGCCGCCACGCTCGTACCGCGTCATATTTTCCGCCCTGCTCCAGGCACGCAGATTCTGCCTACGCCACTTGTCTCTCCCCCGGCCGTACTTTCTCCGGCAGGACGTCTTCATGGACGAGCCCAACGAACACGGCCGCTACTATATCCGTCTGTGGGAGGGTCTGCCGTATTATGTCAAGCCGACGTTCTGGAACCGGTGGGGTCCGGCGGCGTGGTTTAGCCGTTTGGTCGGCCTGCCTGTGCCGGGAGACGATGGCGACAAGTATTACCCACACGGATATGACACGCAGGACCTGGGTCCGAAATATTTTGAGGGCAAGGGGAGAAAGACTATGCAGGAGATCAAGGACGAGCTGGCGCGGGTGATGAAAGAGCGGCCCTTTGTGGACTAATGTACGAATTCCATAGACTCAACGGAATGCTGCACGATGTTTTTAGTTTAGCCTCGCCCGAGTTTCTTCAGCGGGACTGGCACCTGTCATGGATCGGATGATAGACCCTGCAACTCAATGGGACACTGCAGTCGCTGATTTGGCAGCCGCGAACAGAATGTGTGGTAGTCATGTCGTCAATCGTGGATCGGAACCACCGATGGCATGGACCCGGATGTCACCCTGCCCTGGGCATTGCCTAGTTCCGAGAAAGAGCCACGAGCCAGTATTGCACTGGACTAGTTATTAATTATTAGAGCCAGCTGACATCAGATAGAACCTTCTTGCCACTTGCTCCTCCCGGCCCCCGTCATCCTCGGTACAGCTTCATCGATACGCGCTCATAAATGGATTTGATCTCGCCCGTGTCCCATCCTCTCGATCAACGGCACCATGGCCTCTTCACCCTTTCCCCGGCGGGATCCTCGTGATCCCAGCAAGGTCGAAGCCTGGATTCTGGGCAGCGGCCTGCCGTCGCTCACGGCCGCCGTGCACCTGATCCAGGAAGCCGGGGTGCCGCCGTCGCGTGTCCACATACTTGAGAAGCTGAGTATGGCCGGCGGCGGCACTGTCAGCTATGGTGATGCCACGAACGGGTATGACTTCCGCGCAGGAGGTCTGCCACAATTCAACGATGTGTGTATGGAACATCTGTTGTCCTTGGTCCCGTCGACGACGCGCCCTGGACGTACGGTCCTGGACGATCTGGTCGCGTACAACGAGGAGAACCCGTTGAAGGAAGCATCCCACACGCGGTTTCTCAGCCACAAGTCGTACGGTTTGTCGCGAACGGATCCAAAGAAAGTCAATTTGGGCCTGCGCGACAGGGTCGACCTGTTCATGTTGACCTCCAAAACGGAAAAGGCCCTCGGACGGACTCGCATCAACGAATACTTTAGCGAAAGCTTCTTCAAGAGCAACTACTGGCTGATGCTGGCCACTACGTACGGTCCACAGTTCTTTTAATACACAGAGGGAGTGCTGATCAAAGACACAGGTTTGGCTTCCAGCCATGGCACAGCGCTGCCGAACTCCGACGCCTCATCTCGCGCTTCATGCATGATATCCATGACTTAAACCGCCCGAGGCGACTAGACCGCGGCCAGTATAATCGCCATGAGGCGATCGTAGGTCCCATCGCCAAATTCCTCGTCTCCTCCGGGGTTGACTTCCAATTCAACACCACCGTCACCGACATCGTCACGCAATGCACCTCAAGCTCCTCCACCTGCCGCATCACCGAGATCCACGCCACCAAGGACGACAACCCAGAGCACGCCATCCACCTCAGCCCCGACGACATTGTCTTTGTATCCCTTGGCTCCGTGATGTCCGGTGCCACGACGGGCACCAACATCACGCCGCCATCGCTCGAATTCATGGAAATCGACAAAGACCTCGACGAGAACTGGCTCCTGTGGCTGGAGCTCTCCACGAACGACGCCCGCTTCGGCAACGCCTACAACTTCTGCACGCGCATGACCGAATCCCGCATCGCATCCTTCACCATCACGTTCAAAAACCAGGACTTCTTCCACCGCTTCGTCCAGCTCACCGGCGACAAGCCCGGCACCGGCTCCCTTGTCACCCTCAGGGACAGCCGCTGGCTCATCACGCTGAAGATCCCGCAGCAGCCGGTCTTCCCGGACCAGCCCGGCGACGTCTACGTGCTGTGGGGGTACGCGCTGTACCCCGAGCACCACGGCAACTTTGTCAACAAGTCCATGATCAACTGCTCGGGACAGGAGGTCTTGATGGAGATCCTGCACCAGCTGCAGTTCCCCGTCGACAAGATCCTCCGCGACTCCATCACCATCCCGTGTCTGGTGCCGCGCGCCACGGCTACGCTGTTGCCGAGGGCGTGTGGCGACCGCCCACCGGTGATCCCGGAGCGCATGGAGAATATTGCCCTCATCGGGCAGTTTGTGGATATCCCGGATGAGCCTGTCGCCACGCAGGACTATATGATTCGTGGAGCGCAGATTGCTGTTAATGAATTGATGGGCTTGAATCAGAGTATTAAGAAGGGGAAGAAGTATCCGGCCATTAACTTGATGATCTGATCTGATGTGAGGTATGTTTTGTGAATTTTGGAGTCTCGAGGCTACCTAGGTATCCTGGTGTTGGTTGTTCGATTGTAAATAACGCCGTTTCATGTATCTGTACCGCTGGTATTGGTCAGAATGGGACATATTCTTTTCCTACGTTAAACCTATAGAACTTTCAGATATCGTTGGCGATAGATCCAAACCACTTGACATGAAGAAATCGGATACAAGTCTTGTATGTTGCCTGCAGTTTTGCTCTGGACGTTAGATGATGATCCCATCTCGCTTGAATCTCAGAGATATGGTTGATACTAGGTAGGATCATCTGGGACGACCTGCCTCGAGCCAACAGTGAGGTGGGTCGTCTAAGATAGGAGATCCGAGGGACAATTCCCACTGTTTGGGGGTTGTTGAAGTGGAAAACATCCCCACTTTGTACAGGGTCGCGGGGAAGAATGTCCCATCCCCACACTCATTCGTAGGTACATTCTGTATAAGACTCCCAGGCGGCTTTCTGTCAAACTGGGCATCCATGCAAATCTTACTGTTGCATTCAGTGAATTTATATCCAAAGACCGGCATTCTGCTTTAGTTTTGCGAGAGATATCGCCACCCAGGGTACACCATCAAGCGGTGCAAGATGAACTCCCTATAGTTATGTCGGAGGTGGTCCTTCTGGACTGCTCCTTGTGTATATGCCGGCCCGATTAAATGATATGTTGTCCTAACATGATGCGAACAGGGAATCATTGTCAGGGACCATCGATGCTGATGCAATTGCCATGCAGTCCAAATACTCTTGTTGAACCATATCCTACTCAACTGTCTGCTTCAAAAGCCCATGCGTTGTCCACAATCGCTGGAAATCTGTTACCTATTCGGCCTTGATGTGAACAAAACCCGCAGATTGAGGACATTACTCCAGGACGCATATTGGGTTAACTTCGTTACGAACTTGAGCGGCACGGCTCCTCCAAGCTTGGATATCATATTGGGACTGTGATTAACCGCCTCTCTTTACGTAGGAAAGTACACTTTCTTCGCCCTCTAATCAAGATTTTCGTCACCATTGGATAGGATAGTCCTTGCTTTGGTAAGTCCCTCCCGTATCAGTCACTTAACTAAGAGAAGACCCAGCCGAGACAAGGGTCACTGAAAAGATTCACAGTCGTATATAAGGCAAGAATGATAGCCTCCCAAATGAGTGTTACCACGAGAATGTCTCGCCTAAGGGCAGGTAGTCCTTAATGAAACAGTGGTGGGAATTCATAGTTCAAGAACTATTCTTGGTCCAGCGTTTCCTGTCAGCCGCATATTGAGTACAAAAGTCGATAACGCTCTGGGTCCACGGCCGATAGACAACTCCTAGCTCCTCTCTGGATCTGCGGTTATCCAGTACAAAGTGCGATCCCACCGACCTTTTGCCTGGATTGCCCCGAGGAACGTTCTTGATCCAGTCCGAGTCCGCGAAATGCAAGTGCATCAGATCAACAACCTGTTGGAAATCAAATGGGGAGTTGGCAATGATATATCTGCCAGATGCGCTTTGGTTATAGAGGGCATTGACATGGGCTTGGGCCACTTCATCAATATCCGTCATCCACGGCATGATAGTAGGAGGGAGGTCCGACTCAACCCCATCCATCAAACGGGCCAAATCAGAATTCGTAGCATTCATCTTGTCCGGCGATGACACATGTTGTTTATAAGTCCCCCACGTATGGCACGGGTTAACGCAGACCAAGTCAAAGGATCGCGGCTCGGCTTCCATGAACTCCCACGCTGCTTTCTCGGCCAAGGCCTTGGACGCGGTGTACACTGGAGGGAACGCTTTGTAGGTAGCTGCCTCCTCGAATGATAGTGGGTTCCAGTCAGCTTCTGTGTACACGTATCCTGGACGATGGAAGCCAGTAGGATGCACGGGGTTGATGCATGCTGCTACTGAACTCGTGAAGACGACACGTCGTACGCTGGCCTCCGTGGCAGCCGCTTTTAGGGCGGACAACGCTCCTTGTATTGCTGGTTCGAGGACGTCGTGCTTCGCATCGGTGAACTTGTAGCGGAACGGGGACGCGATATGGAAAACAGCATCACAGTCCACTATGGCCTCCTCGAAGGCAGTTGGCGCGGTGATGTCAGGCACAATGAAGACTTTGATTGAGCTACCGAAACAAGCTTCAAGAGGAGGCTTAGCTGCTTCACTGCGGACAGTCGCATGGATGACCACCCCCTTCTTTGCAAGCTTCTCCATTATGGCGGCTGCGTAGAAGGAGTTTGCGCCCGTCACAAGGACTCTATTGAATGAAGCTGGGATCGTCATGATGTAGTAGATGAGAAAGCAAATTGAGAATTTTTTTGTACTTGTCTATTCCTGCGAGGACTGCTCGACCTGTTTTATAAGACTCACTAGGTTCCCTGCATCAATGTCAGTCACAGTGTCCGTCGTGTTAATGCTCTAGAGGTGGGCCACTCCCCACAAATGCGGGATTGCGGGACACGGGTGCGGGGAGTAGACGCATGATCTCCGCCCCATGTATAGGCACAGTTGTTGTGGCAATGTGCTTGGGTCACCCCCCGTTCTGATGGTCCAGAGGATCATATTCCTCTTCTACTGGAACAGAGGTGGAGAAAATTACAGAACAGAGAGAGAGTCCAAATTTATAGCTATGGAGTAGTTATCAACAGGTATTGATGCTCTTTGGTCCCCCTGATAGCCTCTATTGGGCAGTTCTATTCGTATCCCAGGATGAATGGAACGGTCAAGGAGCTATCGAATGCGCCTCCAGTGTGTAACACGTGCCTCCCCACATTTGCGTCTTCTGGCTCCTTCGAACGACAAGCCTCTGTCTCAGGCAAACATAGATCATGCCCTGCAACGCGTAACAGTATTCCTTCGCCAGGAGCGAAGACCATCCCAATCGGCCAAATGGGTATCTCCAGTCGAACCTTGGTACCAGGTTCTATCAATGTCTGTTCCCGGTGTGAGTAAAAGAGGTCGACCTCCGAAGGAGACCGGTTACGCTCCAAGCTATTCCGGTGAGACGCGCGTAGGAACCCTTGGGGGCCGAGACATTTGACAACGTTGACGTCGGGCACTTCAGACTCCGGGACCGGACAAAGGTAATTTAAATGCTTCAGGGTCTTCCCTTCTGCATTGATTTTCCTGATTTGCACCGTGACGTCCATGTCGTTATGCTCTTGGCATGAAACCCAAAGGGTTGCTTTGCAATGACCCGCCAGTTCCGTGGGCGTATCAAAATATAGACGAAAATCCTGGATGATTTGGTTAGCTTTCGGGTCTCTCAGAGCGATATTGAACTATCCGGTTTGCCTACAACACAGTCCGTAAGGTGGTGAGCCTCATAAGAGATGGACGCTTCTTTCTGAGGGAGCTTTGGTTGCAGGGTCCCGGAGGATGCATCAAGAAAGTATGTCTTGAGTCTTTGGCGCTCAGGAGGGTATGTAAGCTCCGATCTCTCCACAACCGTTTTTGCAGGGCTTTCAGGCTCAAACCCAAGCAACGACAGGCGGACCGATGGTGTCTCATCCTCCCAGCCATTGGGCTCTCCTTTCGCGTAAAAGTCAAAGTAGCGCTGCAGCTCGTTGCTGATGTCCTCCCGGTAGAGGTCATACCCTGTATTCCTCTTTGGTCAGCTCCGCGTGTCATAAGCGTTCATATGCTGAAACAGGTGGCTTACACTCCTGGTAGGGATGTACACGCAACCACTTCTTGTTCGTTTTCGCTTCTCTGAAAGTTTGAAACGAGCCGTACGTGTGCAGCATCGTGGAATATGACGCTGTGATGTACATCGGAATGTCAGTGATGTTTTCGACCGGGATGCGCTTCTGCTCCCAGTAGTCATCGTACAAGGGCCGTTTCTGAAACATTGCAATAATGTCTTCCGCGCCGCTTGGACCGGCAAAGCCCTCGCCAATCATTCTATGAAATCCTGGGATATGTGGCCTACCGCCCCTGGCGACAAAATGACGATACGGGTCGGTATACATCTCCCAAGGCGCCAGAGCCTTAAGTGCAGGATGACTCAATCGGGCGGCGAAATTGATTTGCGAGATTGCTAGCCAGGAGTTTCCCGCCATCACGACTGACCCGTTGCACCATGGCTGTCTTGCAACCCAGTCAATCACATCATAGATATCTTCAGCTTCTTGGATACCCCAAAGCGCGATGATGCCCTCACTGTGGCCTGCGCCTCGCGCATCGATGTTGATCACTGCATAACCTCGAGCACACCATTCGGCGGGGTCGGGGGCCTCGAACTTTTCATAGCCCGAAGTGCGGGATTTTGGGATCCCTGCACGAAATGGGGCGATTGTATCGTAGTTTTGCGGGCCGGTCCCTGTCTTTCCGTATGGGCTCCAGGGAAGAATGGCTGGTACCGGCTGGGAAGCCGAAGATGCCGGTCTGAAGATGTCGGCATAGAGTCTCGCTCCGTCTCTGACAACAATTTCCTGATCACGGGTGAAAATAGACTTGCAAGAGAAAGCCCGGTATCCTGGCTCCTTTACATGTCCGACATCCAGGATGCTTTCTTGGGGTGCGAAACCTTGGTAATTGAACGCAGGGTGCTCCGGAGCTGAGGGTATACTCTTGATGATAATATCTGGAAACATCTTGTACACGCGGTAGACTGGGGGCTTCAAGAAAAAAGAGGGAGTTTGTGAGATAAATTCACTGGAGAAGATAGGTTAGCATTGGTTTATACCAAATGTTACCCATTGGTTAGTCGATCAATCGGGGACCTCTATCCTGTGTCCCCTTTCCCCATTCTCCGCACTCATGCCCCGTACCTGTGGGGATATGCTATCGCAGCTAGACTGAGTTGAGTGTGTTGAGCCACCCGCGGGGAAATTTGGTGTGGGGAGGCGATGCTATATCACGTTGATCTATATATATAGCCGCTTTTATATCTCCTGTAGCTCAAAGACTTGCACATCTACTCCCATAATAACATCCATACTTGTCGAGATGGACCCAAGCGTCGGCAGCGAATGTGAGCATCAATTTGGCCTCCCTTGCTTTCGCCAGCCCTTGTACTTACTTGTCTCGATAGTGGCCTATATTCTCAAAGAGGTCACCTTTGAGTGGGCAGATAGCTATGATGCAAAGGTATAACCCTACCCCTCATAAAAGCGAATTATCCTGACAGTCTTTCGAAGGATTGGAATAGACTGCGAAAGATCCTTGCTCCGACCTTGCGGGTAAGTGGATCGCGCATCTCGCACTGGACGACCCGAGCTTCTGGATATTTATACATTTGCGCAGGTCGATTACAGCGAAGTGACTGGGGAGTCTCTGAAAGTCGTGTCCCGAGACGAGTTCGTCGGCATAGTGAGTAGCGAGAACTTTGTGGGAGACCCCTTAGTCGATACGCAGCATCTGGTCGGGGCTTCTCGTTTCACTCGAGCCTCTGAGGATGAGGTTCAAGGGTTCCATCAAATACGAGCAGCACACCAAAGATACACGTCGCCTGATAAGACGCAAGTGGAGGCAAAGGGCCATGGACACGCATTGATCCGGCATGATTATAAGAAAATCGACGGAAAGTGGCTGTTGGCGGGTTTGAAACCAACAGTACGCTGGAACGAATATGATTTCGAGAAGATTTTCAAGGGGCACTGAGGATTTATATGGTCAAAGAGTTTTCAATATTCAAGTTTTACTTCCAGAGTTTGCCTTAGCTGTAGCGGGAAGATGTAGTGTACTTATACAAGTGATTTCGTGAGCACCTGTTGCTGAGATGCTTTAAGACCCAAGCCCTTGAGCTTCCTCGACTTTCGATGTCTAAGAGTATTCCATATGCACTTTTAACCTGATTATGAGAAAAAATGGCTAACATCCACTTCGTGTCTAATGTCTCCAACACACCGCCGCTGGAGTGGTTGAGTTAATGACCAGCACGTTTCACCCTCTTCCTAGCAGCAAACCAATTGAGAGGAGTCCAAACCACAAGCCACCTTGAGAGGACAGGGACATCGCGATAAACCCGGCTACTTGCACCGTGGGCCAGAGTGATGATCAAGAGCTCGAAGCAATTATAGCTTGGCCAGATATAGTCCCCGCAATGCCCCGCCGCATTGCGGAGATCCCACGACTCCTTTTTTTTTTTAAATAGAAATGTGCTAGGTGGAGTTTTCTTCCAGATAGACCAACTTCGTAAAGCCGTAAATCCTTAATGCCGAGACAAATGGTATGCCACCAAAGCATAGCTGTTATTCCAAGGAGAGGCCCGGTACCACTTTTAGGAAGGGAGAATCGAGATGGACCTCTATCATTCCTGGGTATAGTGCTATAGGATCGATCTAGAAAAAAATCAGTTGCAGGAACGCAAAAGGCCTCAGCCGATAGTCTCTTTTCCGGCGGGACTTGAGGCAGCTAAATCTTGAACCCCACATTGTGACCCCTCTCTGAGGTCGACTTTTGAGGAGAAGTGACTTGCTACAGTACAGGTGAACAATAGCAGGTGGCCAGAGCTGTATCCTTCAAGCATTATGCAGACCTCTTCACGCTCAGGAATCCAATCTGCACGGCAAAGTAGTGCTCCAGGCACTCGGCCCCATCAGTGTGCCTTCTGTCGCAAACGATTTACAAAGACTGAACATCTTTGCCGACATCTCCGGACTCATACAGGCTCCCGGCCGTTCGAATGTTCAAAATGTCATAAGCGCTTTGGTCGACAGGATACGCTCTCACGGCATATGCGCATACATGCATATTCTGCAGAGAACGAAGGGCCGCAGTACAGCCAAGCAGCTTTACAGGCTGGGAGCTGCTTCGATGCCAGCTCATCTGAGTTCTTGGAAGGGTTGGGTCTGCTCTCCCCTCCTGATGTTATTACCACAGCTTCTGGCCAGGAGCTCTGTCAGTCGATTTACTCTCAGTCAACATATATGGACCTCCATGAGAATATGGAGTCTGTTCTTCCAGACTTGGAGCTGTGGCCGAGTATAATGACAGAGGGACCCTCACCAACAATCTCCGCGCTACCTTCTGGATCAGACCAAGGTCTGAAGCTTGGAGATGGAGATGATAGGTTACCAACACGGGGACGTCGGGCGGTTCAGGAACTAGCTTACTCCATACGCGAAATGGTAAGCTAACGTCATAGATAACACACTTGCGGGGCTCTAATAGATTCTTGGACAGTCACAGAGTCTTGCATCCGACACTAGCACTCTACTTTCAGACCCTTCTTACCTCGAAACATGCATCCATATGTTTTTCGCGCGGTTCATTCCGGTTATACCGGCGATCCATATGCCAACTTACGCGGCTACGGAGCCTACCTATCCATTGCTGTTAACAATGATGGCCGTCGGGTCTTCATTCATTACAGAAGATAGGTCTTCAACCGCCAAGGTTTGTTTTCCTCCGTTGCACCGTACATCTAGCTAAGTCTCCTAGGGAGAGTCCCTCTGGCGTTTGGTGCAGCAAAGGTTCCTAGGTTCCATTGTATGTGACCCTAACTTACTAAAGACCACAATACTAACTGTTTTTATTCCCAAGATTGGGCATATCGGGGACCACACCCTTGACAGTTCAATCATGACAATCACTTTTCTTGGGCAATGCTACGCCATGTTATCCGGGGTAAGCATATAGAACTTCCACTCCATATATCCTGGCTTGCTTAACGGAGATCAGAAAAGGGACCTGCGAGAATCTGGCTTGATGTGTATAGCTACAGCCTTTCAGAGGATCAGACGGGAGGGACTGTACGAAGCATCTTCTCGCCTTCGTTTTGCAGCATCCATCCACGAGTCCTCATCAGAAAAGGAGAAGAGATGGAAAGCTTGGGCGTCTCAAGAGTCCTTTCGCAGGTCGATCCTTGGCTATTACATTCTAGATGGGCTAATGACCGATCTTTCTGGCCGACCAACAACCGTCCGCCACATCAGCAACATGCTACCCATACCGTCTGACGACTCTCTATTCTATGCATCGACTGCGGATGAGTGGCTGACAGAACTCCAGAAACAGAAAGAGGATGGACTGACGTTTAGTGAAGTGTACGAGTCGCTTCTGGAAGGGAAGCCTATCAAGGACAGACCCCTTTCCTATCTCACTGTTCGAGTCATCCTGGAAGGTATTCACTCCTGTGTCAGCGATCATAAGTCCAATAGCGGCCATGTTGCTAAGGACATTCCCTCCCGTGGTTCTTTATATAAAATCCTCATCCAGCTGCGCTCAGACCATATCTTGCGCTTGTCTGCTTCGGACAAAGTCGAGCATGAGATTCGGTGGCATGTTATCTGCATTAGTCTGGTCATAGACTTACAAGAGCTCCAGCAGCAGTTAAATAATCCTCTTCAGGAGTCATTTGCTGGATTCGTCGATAGTTGGTTGGGTTCTGCGGATTTGCGCTGTGCGCTTCTTCATTCGACGGCCATCCTCGATCTCTGTCAGCAACTCTCATTTGGCCGCTCGCACTGCATTCATATTCCTTCCGCTCTCTTTGCCGCGACAACCGTTTATATCAGTATACTCCACTGCCTCTACCGGGCAAAGGAGAAGCAATGCCTATGGATTCCACAGGTCTCCGACTGGGAGGATGTTCGCCGTGTTGTCTACAATGACCCCCCTGTTCTTGACACGACACAAGACATGTCAGGGGTCATCACTTTTCTGACTTGTCCTATCGCAGAACAGGTGGCGAAACTGCCTGTACGGAACCTGCGCGGTGATGTTACCACGATGCTGGGTCTACTCCAACAACTTGGTGTCTATATGGGTATTTCGCGCGAATTTAGTCAGACTGTAACCGGATGGCTTTCACGCGTGCAATCCGGATTATGAATATTATGGATGTCATATCACAGGATAACTACCTACTTTATATGCTACCCAAGCTACCTTCTTTCGCAGCCGTTGTATAAGTAGACATCCGCATGGGAATTCTGATGACCCCCTTGATTGGCAACTTGAACATGATTGTTGAACACAACTCCCATGTCCTATATCCATCTAGTCAGCAGCAAGTAGAGACGACCATTGGCGGCACCAGTCTCAGGCCGATGTTTTTCGGTCATTCTGGTCGAGCTACGAGATGCGGTACTTTGTTCGGTTACTTGCCATTCCCATATCAAGGCCTTTTTACACGCTGCTACAGAGACAGAGGCGTATCTCTGCCATTTTTTTATCTTATGGCAGTCCGGATAATGCCAGACACTTTTAACGACGATGATAAGAAGATATCCCACACACTCGCGCCTTCCATCTCAAAGCCTATAATGTCCTCCTGGTTTGCAATCCGACCTCGGTCAGTTGCCGACTTATGCTATTGTATAATTTTATTTTTGGGTTTCTCTCCAATGTAGAACAGCTGTGTTCTATGACCTCCCTAAGCAGCAGGAAAGGGAAGCAGGGGGTTTATACTAGGGCGAAGGAGAACACTATCAACAAACACGACCAATAATAGCACATCGGATGGACAGCATGGCAGTGGCCTCATCATCAGTGCCTTAAATTTGCCGCCCAGTATCTCGTAATACTAGTTAATCTTCTCTCGCATAAAATAGGTAGTAAGTAGTACATGGTATGGTTACGGCAAAATTGTGACGTCATCCTATCCGCCGCTCTTGGCTACGCACTTGAAATAATTCTACGAAAGATCTTCGGCTAGATAAGAACGATTCTAGAAGCAGTGGAGAGTTTGATGTCAAATTTGATGCCGAGGCTGTTGGTATGCTGGTATTGGGTTAAGCTATTCTCTTCCGCCGTATAGTCGGAGCCGACGGGACCGTGGAACGACGTGGAGATGGGCACACTTCCTAGTCCGTCGCCAGGGAGCGGCTGGGTTGAATTAGTTCAAGTTGAGCTGTGTTTGCCGGAGATATCGCAAGCCCTGATATATGTCGAATTAACGGGCTGCTGATCAGAGTTTTCGTCTCAGTCAGGCAGCTTCTATAGATGCGAGAGACCCACATGCAAAACACAGTGGCAATCGATGCCACAGGTGTTGATACTGGATTTATGATAATCAACAATGGCAGTATAAATCGATCTGCCTAGACAACGGACTAAAGTCCGCCTTCCGATAACGAGAATTATCACCATAGTCGCACGATAAGGGTCATGAGGGTCTGTCGCAGAAACTGATAACTTTGTGTAGATAATCAGGAGCAAACAGTCCGAATATGGAAGCTCGTCGCCGTACCCCTTAGCTATGGGTCTATATCCGCTTATAGGATGTCGGATACACCGAAATGAATGAGGGGGAGTTGATGAGGTAGCAGCCTAGTGTTATTGGGTTATCTAGGGAGAATAAGATGAGCTTGTTTCTGTTTTTTCTGTGACAACGTATACGAATGAGGTCTTGTCTATGCGAGGAAAAATAGGAGATGTAACTTGTGTGGATATCCATCAATAATATAGGTACCTAGTAGCATAGGTAGTATAGACGTTTACTATACTATCGTGGCAGTCGAGCCGAAGGTGCCTAATGGGAGCAAGAGGTTCTACCTCATGCGGAGTAAGGTGCATGATAACGAGAATCAGCCCCCCTTGATAGCTTCCGTCTGGGATACCTGGATATCCCGGACGAGCCTGTCTTCACGCAGAATTATCCGGTGAGTAGGGAGCAGATTGCAGTTAATGAATTAATTGGCCTAAATCGGAGTATTAAGAGGGGGACGAAGAATTTCTCTATTAATTTGATGGGCCTAATGTAAGGGTATGTTTTCTAACTTATGGAGTCTTAGGGCTATCTCGGAGTTGGTCGTTCGATCGTATAGAAGACTGTTTACCTTATCTACGCCATATTGTGCTGTTGGAACTGGTCAAAATGGGACATAGTTCACCTCTTAGACTTAAGACTCCTGTACAAGGTCAACCAGGTAACAGTTTATGAGAATAGTAGGCTGTATAACAGGCACTATACGTATAGAGCCACCCCCTAGGCCATTCTTGCATGACTCATTGGCCCGCAAACATAAGCCGCCGAGCGAAGCGAGGGAATGCAGCTTGCGCAAGTCTCACGGGATTGGCGTTCAAACAAGCAAGTTTTTCCAAGACAGGATCTAGCTGCGACGACAGACGACAAAGCACCTTCTTGGATACAGCCCACCCGACCTGTCCCTTTCTCACCCTTTGATCAGAATACACCACTTTCGAAGGCTTCGACCATGGCGCATAAGCGCCGCAATAATGCCAAAGATGACGATTGTGATAAATGTAGACCCAGTTGGCGCCCACTGATCCCAACCACGCGTCAATGAAAAACGGAATAGAGATGCCGAGAATCATCCTCCAAAAATTCAGCACTGCTTGGACTTCGTTCGCCAACTCTGGCCCGACTGCCTCAATCGCATATTGAATTATAGGTGGCACACAAGCCATTCCGCTAAATCCAATAAGAAACACGGCCAGAGCCACTACCATATAATGTAGATGGTAATACAGGCTTGCGCCGAACAGGCCTAGGGCAGGGGGGTATATCAGCAAGACAGGCAACCAAAGACAGTGCAGCCGATACTCCGGCTGCCATTCGCCTCCGCGCCGAGAGTAGAGCCAGAGGGGGAGGCGATCATTGGTATGGTATCCATATATAATCGCCGCGATTGTAGAGGCCCAGCTGACAAAGCTGAAGGACGCATATCGTATCGCAGAAAAGCCATAACCCCCCGCGATCACTGGGTTTTGCAGGAAAACAGGCAGGAGACTGTTGATTGATACAACCCAACCGAAAAGCACGAGGACACAGAATCCGGCTATGATGCAGACTGGATCAATAAAAAGCTTTGCTAGCTTCGCAGTCTCTGCGCCCAGCTTGTGTTCACTCAGTCGTCGGCCAGGTAGGAATATTGCCGCTCTTAGGCCGAAGTATCGCTCGGGAAGATCCGGTGCCTGCAAGGACGGAGGGGCTTCGCGATTCCAGGTTGTCTCTTCCAGGATAACCAAACAGAGTATGGCGGACACTCCCATCAAGGCGACGACATACCAGAACTGGACTGTCCAGTCCGCGCTCTGGACAATAAAACCTGAAAAGGTTGGGCCAATAACAATGCCGAAAAAGGTACAGATGACATACACACCAAGGGCCTTGCCACGATCGTGCAGGAAGAACATTTCAGTAATAAACGTGGACCCAACTTAACGATGGTTAGTTAGCCTTGTGCATCTGGCCACAACAGGGCAGCGGCAGAAACTCACCTGTTTGCGGAGCAGATCCAAGAAGAGCGGCAAATAGTCTTGAGACCACGAAGTTGTTATATTGATCTGGTTTCGTGAGAACGGCCGACCAGATATTGCACACTAGACCCAAGATCAGGGACCAGAACATAACCCTGCTTTTCCCGTAGCATTTGGCCAACGGGGTCCAGATCAACGGACCAGCAGCAAATCCGCTGTTGGCCGAAGAAAGCTCGTAGGTTAAAAAGAGGTCAGAAGCATGGCAGGGATGATCAAGAGGGTAAACATTGATTTACCGAGTAAGATAACTGCAGCATGGTCTTTCCATAGAGCTGAGCCTGCACTCCGAGTCCCGACGCGTTGGCACCTGCTTGTGTAGAACACGAAAATGACGCGAAGCTGATAACGGCAAGGATGAGTAGCTTTTGAGGGCGTCTCCAATTCTGGGAAAACGCGCGTGAGCAAGCTGTAGGGGTTATTCACAATGGGAAGGGTCTTTACACACCAATGGATCACAGGGGTCATCGGAGGGTTGCGGGTCCAGGACCAGGCCATTTTGATCGATCTTGAGGTCGGTGGATTGAGGGTTGTTGCTCGCGGTCTGCGAGGCCTTCTCAATTTCAAACACCCCTTCGGGTTTAATTTGCATGTCGGCCATGGTTGCCGATGACTCCTGTCCGCATGGATGAAGTCGAATGGTGTGAACCAAAGGTGCCTCCTTTAGTAATTGTGCCCGGTACACGGGGGCCCGGCATACCACGGTGAGAAGGATTCCATGGGGAAGAGAATATTCATTGAGGTAAAGTTGGCGGAGATCTGTGACCCAACGCACCGAAGAACGTACGATTGATCCATTCCACCAGCTGTTGATCCTTTGAGTCGAGAATCAGCGCCTTGGGGTGGCTATCTCCACTGGTGCACCCCTGGTTGCTTCGAACTTCATTTTAGGGAATGCTCACCAGTATCCCGGTCCTCGGTGATTAAGTTCTAGCAAAGACAAGTAGATTCTCCTCTCCCCTTTTCCAACTGCGAGTGCCAAACATGCTCGCCATTGCGGAGGGCTACATGTACCACGAGCCGAGCTTTAGTCAAAATATACGTTGTTACAAGTCCGTGGAAATTAGTCGAGATGAATTTTGTTCGTGGACGTTGGGCTTTTCTTAAACGGTAGTACAGTACAAGCCTCACTTAGCTGTCAACGCATCTAGGGGCAGATGGCATGCACGCTGAGATCTCGATGAGTTGTGAAATCTTGTGAATCTAAGAGATAGATGGACATTGTTACTAATATCAAGTGGTATGCCATAGCTTTCACAGCTGCAATTCATTAACGGCGCCCATCCTTACCTGTGGATATTCTGCGAGAACATCAAATTACCCAAATATATATCTCCGGCTCCAGATGTGCATAAGACCCGTATCTTACAGGGAAGTCAAGCGCTCGAGATACCGGACAGTGAGCTGTGCAAGATACTTCTGCGAACATACGTGTTCTTTGTGCACCCATTCCTCCATGGACTCGATATTGACGACGACGCCATGGTTAAGGCTCAAACGGCGTTAATAATGAGCGTTGGAGAGGGGCTCGAGGAGTCCCGTGCAAGGATTTGTGATGAGATTGCCTGCTGCCAATGTCTTGATATTGAGAGCTCATCAAAGGAGTTGGAAATAAGCACGACGAACAATTGCAGAGGCGACTTTGGTGGACGTGCTATGTTCATCCAAATAATATCAAAGTACTCCATCTATAGTTATGATTACTCTACTATTCAAAGCCGCGTAATCTGTCGAGGTTAGTCCATGGCTTGGCACTTGGTGAATACTTGATTGACAGTCCTACTGAATATCTAAAATATATAGCATGGCTCCACGACAGGAAGGGGCTGGCGAATATGACTAGAATCCTGATATTGTTGTTATCTTCTATGTCTACAATAACCTTTATCGGTGAATCTATAGTTACTAGGATAATCATCAACGTATCGAAATTGGAGCGGAGCGGAGCGAGACTGGGGGAATGGGGGAATGGGGGTGAATAAACAGTTTACTCAGCTTAAGTATTTACAGCGTCACCGATCAGCTGAGCATCCTCTGAATCATCAATCATCCCGAGAATCAAGACTATGGCTGATTCAATATCAATCTAATGGTCCTCCTGAGGGCGAGCGATAGATCTTGTAGGATAGGATGGTAATCTTTCCTCGATGCGAGATATGGCTACATTGAATGACTCACTCATACACCACCGTGTGCACTAACTTGGCTACCCCCTCAACATCCACCTCAACCAAGTCGCCATCCTGAAGAAACCGCTGGCTAAAGTACCCAACACCATTCGGGGTTCCAGTCATAACGACAGTGCCGGCTCGCAGAGTCGTCCCTCGCGTTAGATGGCGCAGGATCTGCTTCACAGTCCAGATCATATCATTGGTGCCTGTTTTCTGGCGAACTTCACCATTGACCCTGACAACGAATTCAAGTTTCTGGGGGTCCGGGATTAAAGCTGGGCTGACAAGCCATGGTCCTATGGGTGCAAATTGATCGAAAGATTTGGCGTAGCAATATTGCCCTCCGCTCGCATCAGGCACTTGGAAGTTGCGCGCGGAGACATCGTTGCCCGCCGTGTATCCGAGGATGTAATCTGCGAGATCGAAGTCCTCGGGTAGGTTTTTGGCGTCGCGTGATGTAACAAAGACCAGCTCGCCTTCATAGTCAAGCATCGATTGAGCCGAGGGATGCACTTTGACGGGTTCGCTGGGGCCATGGAGAGCGTCGGCAGGCTTGGTGAAGATGACTGGATAGGTAGGTACTTTGATCTAGTCGGCCGTCAGGTTGCTATTCAGACATACCTAAGTTACCAGATGGGGCCAGTTACTTACACCTGCTTCCTCCGCATGTTGGCGGTAGTTTACCCCAACGCATATGATAATTGGTGTTTCGGCGATGGGGCAGAGCAGCTATTGGAGACACCAAACGTAAGCAGAGGTAGGCACATGGCGCGGTGAACTGGTGTTCCGAACCTACCTTAGAAGTCACCACGGCATTTTGACCGGTAGGGGAAAAGCCGCTCTTGACGGACCCGTGCAGTGGCTGCACTGTGTAAGCCCCATCGCTCTCGGACACGAGGTTGCCGTAGTGGGTGGTGCCATTCGCCTCAAATCGAACTAACCGTTCAAATTCCATGGTGATTCACTTTAGGCAGTAGAAGGTAAGAACAGAACAGCGCATGCATCTTGTAGGAATGAATGATTCTTGGCTTACCCGGCCCCGGTTGCCTGCAAGAGCCGACGTTGACCGTGAAAGCCCGGGGATTAGCCGACCCCACCCTCCGCTAACGTCGCGATGCATACGCAGAGCCGTCGTTATATGGGATCGTTTGTAGCGATGAGGACTTTTTCTTAGACTCATAGCATAGCATCATCACTGTTTGCATTCACCACCTTTGTGCAGAATTACCAGGAGCAGAATGATCCGCGTCACTAGCCTAGCGCACGTTCACTACGCCCACCCAGACCTCGACAAGGCTATATGTTTCCTGCAAGACTTTGGTCTCGTGGTTGAGGCCACCGTTGACGGCAAGACCTACCTACGTGGCTACGGTGAACAACCCTTTGTGTACGTTGCGGAACAGTCCACAGATGGTCGAAGGCATTTCCGCGGCGGCTACTGGGTTGCAGAAAGTCGCGCAGACCTCGAAAGAGCAGCCGCTAATCCAGCTGCTGTTTCGGAAATCGAGGAAAGCAGTGCACCGGGCGGCGGAGAAGTGGTTCGGCTTCGTGATCCGTGGGGCTTTCTTGTAGGATTCGTGCATGGACAGAGGCTGCGGGAAGCAGAGGGCCCCAAGAGGCTGGAGGAAAAGGAAACTGCCGCAAATGAGGCAGTCTCGAAGAATCGAAAGGGAGTCTTCCGCCGGTTTCAACACGGAGCGTCTCCCATTCACAAACTGGGTCATTACGGAATTCTGGTTCCAAAAGACCAGCTAGATGCTGCCATGCGCTGGTACTATGGAACCATGAACCTGAAACCGACTGACTATGTGGTCGACCCTGAAACGAAAGCTGTGGATTCTGTTTTCAACCATATTGACTTGGGCAAGGAATACACAGATCACCATGTAAGATAGTTCGAGTATTGACGAAAAAGAGAGAGAGAGAGAGAGAGAGAGAGGTACTAACTCGTCCTAGAGCTTTTTCATCTCCACACTTCATGGTCCGAAACCGTATATTCACCACTCTAGTTTCGAGGTCAATGACTTCGACACGCAGGTTCTCGGGCACGATTGGCTCCAGGCCAAGGGGTATGTCAACTGTTGGGGTATTGGACGCCATGTACTGGGCAGCCAAATCTTTGACTACTGGTAAGGCGGCACAAATCCGCTGGTACAGGCGATCACTAACGCCTATCCAGGTTTGATCCGTCCGGCAATATAATCGAGCACTACTCCGATGGAGACCTCGTGAATGAGGATACTCCCGTCACGGAAGAGCCAGCTGGGCCTAACTCGCTCTACATATGGGGTCCCAACATTCCCCTTGCGTTCGCAAGTGGGAAAGTTGAAGATGCACATGGCTACCAACTAGTCAGTGCACCCGACGCTGCGAACGGGAGGGCTGCCGAATACGTCGAGGCGAAGGGGACGGTTTAGCCATTGATATTTCTGGTGTATTCACATGTACGAAGTCTACCAATAGGCCAAGTAGACAAAGTCGGATAATAAGCAAGTTCCCTAATCTACATTGTTACGCTACGGGCGACCAGCATAATGGGTTATTGCTTTACAGGTTCTGAACTACATTGAGAGTAATGATAGCGCACATCCAATGATATAGTTACTCGGAGAGAAGTTTGCATAAGCTAGGCAAGCTGAATGCCAAAAGCTATATCCGCGCCTCAAGGTGCAACCGAGGCCCTAGCTACTTTGTTTCTCACTTCTTAGTGCATTTAAAAGGAAGTCCAAGTACTAGGGTTTCATACATAAACCTATACCCTCTTCCGCAAATCTTCTAAACATAGCCCTAAACCTTAACCATTCTAGACCGCAGCCGTTCATACTTTTTATATTCCTCCAGAGACTCGGGGTTGGCAACCGCGGCAGATGGTGTCACTGGCTTTCCCGAGACAACATCCCGCACCAAGCCCTCGATCTTCTTCCCGTTGGTCGTGTACGGGATGTCCTTGACCTGTATCACGTGGCTGGGAACGTGGCGCGCGCTCAGGCCGGTTCGAATAGCAGCTGTGATATCATCACGCAGTGCTGAATCCAGCCGACCTTGGCGGAGGACGACGAAGAGAAGAACCTGTTCATCGTGCAGATCCGGTAGCTTCTGGCCCACCGCAACCGAGTCTTGGACTTGGGGGAAGCGCTCAATGATTGAGTACAGCTCTGCCGAACCAAATCGTATGCCTGTATGGTGTTAGATTAGCGAGAAACAAACGAAGGATGTCGCTCACCACCCGGATTTAACACTCCATCACTCCGGCCGAGGACCTCAAATCCCCCGGTCACTGGATTACGTCGCACAAAGTCCCCGTGGCACCAGACACCAGGGAACTTGGAAAAGTACGACTTCTCATATGCCTGGTTGCCAGTAGGGCCCAGAAATCCAAGCGGCATGCTGAAGAATGGTCGTGTAATAACCAGCTCACCCTTGGCACCAGAGTCGGTGATGTCGTGTCCGTCATCGTCAAAGACCCTGGCTTTCATACCCAGCGCACAGCCAGCGATCTCGCCTGCGTGGATGGTCGACATGGGCGATGGCATGAGAACTACGTCCCAGTCAGCACGTCCATAGTACGGTTCGCAAGCAGGAGGGGGGCCACCTACTGCCCCCTACTAGGTCAGTGCCACCTGATCCACTGAGCAGCCCAAGCCTAGAAGGGAATTTGGTGTAGAACCAGTCGTACAGCTCGGCAGAGAGGGCTGATCCGGTGACATCGACAACCGCAAGCTGTGGCAAGGGTGGTACAGCAAAGGAAGTCGCCTTGAGGGACTCCAGGAACTTGGGGCTTGTCCCCCAATCCTCGACGTGCTCTCGTTTGACTATAGCTAACTGGGACGAGGGCTTGGGGTACAGGGGACTCCCGTCGTACAGGACAATTTGAGTGCCGCCTGCGAGGGCCGAGACGAGGTAATTCCACATCATCCAACCCGTCTACCGATGAACGTTAGGGCCAAGAATTGCGTGAACGAGTAGTGGACATACAGTGGTGTATTGGTAGTATACAGAACCTTGCGTCAAGGACTTGTGCAAGAGATGCTCCTTGCGGTGCTGCAAGAGAACCCGTCCGGCTGCGTGGCAGATGCCTAGTGAAATTGTGTCAGATAAGTAGCGTTGAAACTGGGAAAAGTGGGCTGCAGATACATTTAGGGGGTCCAGTAGTGCCAGAGCTGTTGATGAATCCTTGTCAGTACGGGGCGCATCAGCCGGGAGGGGAGCGAAATTTACGAGTATAGCACGTAAAGCGGATGGTCGAACGGAAGCTGCTCGTACTTGAGGTCCGGCCGGGAGCCGGGCAGGATGTCCGTTGCGGAGATTCTAGACGAACTGGTGAGCAGGCGCAGGAGGTAATGGAGGGTCCAACTTAATATTACACGTCTGGCCCTGGAAGCAATGGGCCGCGAACCACAACACAGTGCGATAATTTGGCGACCTGTTCCTTAAGCTGCGCGTGGACTTGGGTCATCTTGGCTTGGAGGTCGATGTACTTCCCGGCGTATGTCACCTCGGTCTGGCAGATAAAGACGACGGGTTTGAATTGTCGATATCGGTCGATGATTCCGCTGGCCCCCATGTCCGGCGCGGTTGAGGAGAAGACAGCGCCACATGCTGCGCAAGCCAGGAAGATGAGCAGCGCATCGATGTAATTCGGCAAAACGACTGGGTGGCAACACAACACAGGGTTAGAACAACTCCGAAATACCTAATGAAGGGGGTTGAGGTACCTCCGACGGGGTCACCGACGCCAACTCCGAGCCTCTTCAACGCGTGCGCCCAGCGCGCAACTTCGTCCTCCAGCTGCCGGAAGGTAAGCCTGAGAGGCTCCCTGCTGCCTGTGATGTCACCCTCCTCATAAGCTGCGACAGCTATAGAGTTGGCTTTGGTCTTGAGACCAAAAGCAAGCAGGTTCTCTGCGTAATTGAGGGCCGCACCGGGGAACCAGGTTGGCGGTGGCCACAGCTGATCCAGGCCAACACCGACAGCCTTGGGACGTTCGCTGTAGATTACCCCAGAAAAGTTCCAGAAGTCTTCGGCAAAGGCTTCAATGTCGCTCGTGGCCCATTCCTGGATGTCATCAAAGGTCGAAAGCCGCAACTGACGTCGTTGGTTGACATATTCGCGGAAGGCAAAGAGTGGGGTTGAGGAGGGATCCGGGTGCGACCAATGCACCCTCAGGGGGCTTGCAGAGTTCATGGTGCCGGATGGGATGTTGAGTTTGAGACGATTTCGGCGAGGAGATACTAGGTAGTCTAGATAGCTGAACCGGTGTTCCGGGAAGGATGCCGCCATTGACCGGGAAACGCCGTGCCGCCGTGCAGAGATGCTATTAACCTCGAAAAGCCTCAACCTAGGTAGCTAACATTTCAGATCACAACAATCATGCCTTTCCATTCAACTCCTGTCCTTGTCGTGGGCGCCGGCCCCGCCGGGTTGATTGCAGCCCTGCAGCTGACCGTCAACAATGTTCCGTGTATGCTGGTTGAACGAAACCAGACCACGACGCAGTGGCCGAAGATGGATATAACCAACTGTCGCAGCATGGAGATTTTTAGACGGCTGGGAATTGCGAAAGGGGTACGAACTGTCGGTAGGTAGGTCGCGTCGACTTGACGGACAGACATCCTAACATTTTCAAGGGGTCCCGGGACACTACTCGCTCGATGTCTTGATCAGCACTGGCCTTTCTGATGGAGGAAAGGTAATTGGGGGATGGGTACGTCCCCCTCGAACCTCTATCAGCGCTTTTTAACCTAACAATTGCCTAGGAACTGCCATCCCCGGATGCCTGGCGTGAGAAAATCCAACGCCAGAACGACGGGACCATGCCGCGAGAGCCCTATCAGCGATGCTCACAGGCTATCCTTGAGGCGTGGCTCAAGCCGAAAATCCAGGCACAATCCTTGATCACCGCTGTATTTGGCTTAAAGTTCGAAAGCCTCGTGGAAACCGACGATGGAGTTGAGAGCAAGCTGGTCACGGAGGATGGCGAGGAGCACCTGGTCAAGTCGCAGTTCGTTATTGGATGCGATGGTGCAGGGAGCAGAGTTCGCCGCGGTCTGGGGATCCAACTTGAGGGAGGACCAGTGTAAGGGCGGCCGCCTGAACCTCCGATCGAATACTAGAAGACTAATCTTTCTCCAGGCCAGGTGCAATGTTCCTGATCCACTTCAAGTCCAGCGATCTCACGAGACTTCAGACACAAGGCCAATTCTGGCATATTTACTTTACGACCGGGCAAGTGATTATAAGCCAAGACGAGAAGGACACCTGGACGGTGCATTGCCCGATTTCCCTTGATGCAGATGTCTCCAAGCTAGACCCAAGAGAGGAGGTCTACAAGGCGCTGGGAGGGGAGCACTCTCCTTACCCTATCGTGATAGACGAGATTCTTGTGACCAGTGTTTGGCGACCAAACATCTGCGTGGCGGAGCGCTACGCGTCCGAGGGAAGACGGATCTTCCTAGCTGGGGACTCTGCCCACCAAAATATCCCTACAGGGGGGTATGGAATGAATACCGCTGTTGGCGACAGCTTTGACATTGGCTGGAAATTAGCTGCCGTGATTCAGGGCCATGGTGGGAAACATTTGCTTGACTCGTATGAACTGGAACGGCGCCCAGTTGCGGTCAGAAATATAGATCGTTCTGGTGTCCATTGGTCGGTGCACTCGCAGTATCTGCAATGGTGCCAACAGAATCCCCATGCAGTTATTGCCCCGTCCGAAGAGGGCGAAACGTTGCGGGCAAAGATTGCAGACTGGGTCCGTACGCACGATGGAGAAAACAAGGACCATGGAATCGAGATGGGCTACCGTTACACCGGATCGAATATCATTCTGCCCTCGGACGATCCCACCCATGAACCCCCGTTCCACGCGCGAGAGTATGTGCCCACCACCTGGCCGGGCTCTCGCGTTCCTCATGTCTTCCTCAAAGATGGGACAACCAGCATCTATGACCTGCTCGGGACGGGACCCCAGTTCACCTTGGTCGATTTTACTCCTGGCGGCACTTATATTCAGCAGTTCACCCGTCACGCAGAGGAGCTAAATGTTCCATTCAAAACGGTCCACTTACCGGAAGAGAATCACGTTCGCTCTGTTTGGGAACGGGAGGCGGTGCTTGTTCGCCCGGACGACCATGTTGCCTGGCGGGCATCTGACCAAGTGTTGGATGCTCGAACCATTTTACAGGTCGCTGTGGGCCAAAAGGAACTGCACCATCGGCCGGTGCAAGAGAGCAAGGATGGCAAGAAGTTTACGGGGACGATCGGGAATGTGAACATGGAGAATGTCAAGATGCGGGCAGAATTCCAAGTATAAGGTAGCTTGAAACTCGCAAACTTGGTCAAATTCGACGCTACCCAAGGAGTGAACGTCGTACATGTACAACATTAAGATGATTTGGCTCCTCAAAGCGCCCCTGTCCAAAATTGTGGGAACGTATCCCCCGATAGCCCACCTAACCCATTCAGAACGGAGTTGTCAATTCCATCGTCACTGTTACCAGCCTCCAGAGGGACTTGGTGATTCCAGTCGATTGGATGATCGAGCAGACCAAGCCATGGTGTCTGGGGAATATCTATTGCGTAGTCGGTGTCAAGGTCTGCCGTGGATGACTTCCTTGGACCGTGAGGCGGACACTGCGGACGGTTTATCTCTACTGGAATTGGCTCTTGCTGACTATGTATTGCCATCGAAGAAAACGCCGAAGTCGAGGATGAGCATGCGGATGGTGAAGGCGACGCACTGCCGCACGACAAAGTCGGTCGCAGACGGTCTGGGAGAAGGGCGAGAAATGTGGAAAAGGTTTCTCCAAGGTGAGGAGCGGGCTCATTATCGGGTGTGGTGAGAAAACTCTCCAGGTCTTATATTCAGCGTCAGTAAATTGAAGCGGTCCGGTACATTCTACAAGGGAACTACCAAGTAATACGGAGGCCAGGTTCCAGTGACGCGCAAAGTGCGCAAGGCCGAGCCTGGCCATTTCCTTTGCTAAAGTCGGTTCGGCCGGGTTTGGATTGGGCGTCCCCCGATTCGAGTCCACAAAGGCGGACTTGGGTCCCAGTAGTGTGCAGGCAACAAAGGGCTGGCACACCTTGATGTACTCTGAGGGCCAGGCATTCATGATCTGCACGAGTTCCGACGCTCGCGCCTGGATCCTTTTGGTGTACATCTGTTCTGGCTGAGCACGGGCTACATCACACGAGGTTCGAGCGGAGAGAAGAAGCAGGTTCGTGCATATTATCCAGTTGTACTGGGAAACGTCATCGTTGCTGAAGTCGGGGGGGTTTTCAAAAATGTCAAACTGCGGTGGCAGGCTGAGGCGGAAGCAGTTCAAGATAGTCTCCATCCGCACTATCTCACCAACCTCTTCGTTGCTCGGGTACTGGTAACTCGCATGGGCGAGTGAGACAAGATGATTGCAAACCAAGAACCAGGCACGTTCGCTCTGGTTTTCGCTGCCCTGGAGACTGTTCCATACCCTATGTGGCTCTCGGTCCAGCATTGCCGATCCCACGCGTCTGCCAGCAAACCAATCATGGTCCGACACTGGCAGACAAACACGCACAGAGCGGTCGTCAATTGCATACGGCCGCTGCAACAAGATGGATCCGAAGCGATCCAGCTCCCACACCAGCCACCAGATTCGGCGGAGGCCTTCTTTACGCATCCATCGGGTGGTCAGCTGCTGTTCGTCGGCGCCACAATTGCCTTCGGTTTCGATGGCGTCTATTCGATGTAGGTTCAGGTCAAAAGCCATCCTAACGCAGACTCCGGTGAGAATCCAACTTTGATGGCGCAGACACGACGTGTAAAGATAGAATGCCAAGAGAATACATCCCTTGAGATAGGCCTCGGAAGACTTGGAGGCGCTGAGTCGCAACCGGGCGTACGCCTGGTTGGCGTTGACGGCAAACTGCGCTCCTCGCTCGGGTGCTGGAATGCGCGCCCAGTCCCCAGCCGAGTAGTACTTCGCAGCAAGAGCGAAGATAGCCCAAAACATGAGCCGCTCGTCCATACTCAGATCGCCCATGGCGCGCATAGTCTGGTTGTTGCCGATGTAGGTTTGGTAAAACGTCGGACGGTGAAAGAGAGGCAGCCAGGGCTGGATCTTCAAGAAAAACAGATCCACCAGCGCTTTAGCCAACTCAGGCGGTATTTCCTCCTCGGCTCCTTCTTCTGGGGCCTTCTCCAAAGAGCTCTGGGGATTCTTCGGACTCGCGGAGGTGGTACTCAGAGAGGATGAGCGTACCGCGGCAGGATTGGTGGATTCGCTACGGGGCGATTGACATGATATGCATCGGTCTTGAGCTAAGAGCCAGTGGACTGGATGAGCAAGTAGTAGATATGTATATCGGCCAAGACCAACCTGTTTTCCGCTGCAGCCTCGATTTTCCCCGCTTCTCATTCGGTTTTCGGCGTCGAGTGGGAAACTCGCAGCGCTGGCCGGTGCGGCGACAAAGGCCACAGATGGGCCGCTGCATGTCACCTGGCTGATTGTCAGAGTATAGCCGGACATGCAACAGTCGGCGGACTCACACTTTGTTTTCTTTCTGGCGCCGCCGTCGTGTCAGTACTCACTCCAGATGATCAGAGAGGACGACCCTCAAACCCACCGATTACATTGCTCACAGGCCCGGTGCAGTAAAGGAGGGACCGTCGAGGTCGAGGATGGGGAGGTATAGTCGCCCATGATGAACAGTATGTGCTATTATTGACGTTGAAGGGGTTGAAGGGGGTGAAGGGTGGAAGTAGAGATGGCGGGGATTGCCTCGACTCCCCCATGTTATTATTGGGCTGGGGTGGGTCATGCTAGTTAATGTGGAGAAATAAGGTTGCACTATTCCGGGGCTAAGTTAGTAGACTCCGGAATCTCCGAGAGAGTCGTTGCAGGTTCCTCGGTAACTACTACTGGATACTATAAGTAACTAGTAGTTCCCCGGAGCAGCAAAACACCGCCCAGCGCCGTCCCCACTGGTCCGCTTTCTGCCGCTCAATCAGGTATCGTATCTGCTAGGTACGTTCGGTTTCGTCCAAAAGAGCAGGCCTTGCCATACGGTGGCCGGGTTTGGGCGGCGAACCTGTACTATATCAAGTGGACCATGTGATAGCATCAAATATTTATACAGAGTCTCGATAGCCAGTTCAGTCAAATCAAACACATCCAACATCTCAAGTCCTCTCGTAATGCACGTCCTTATTGTCGGCGCCGGCCTTGGTGGGCTGGCTTGTGCGGTCTCTTGTCGCGCGGCGGGCCTGAAAACGACGATTCTGGAACAAAGCCCCGAAATCACTGAGGTACGTCTACAACCCCTTCCCTTACAACGACAGTAATATTAATCATAGCATTAACCTCTTCCCGGGTAAAGGTCGGGGCTGGCATCCAGATACCACCCAATGCAACCCGCGTGACGGAATATCTGGGCCTTTGGCCCCAGGTCAAGGAGAAAGGACTCAGAGTAGAGTTTCTCGATATCTTGCGCTACGCAAATGGTAAATTGATCTTGCGGCGGCCCCTTGGCGATGACGCTGTGAAGGAGCTGGGCGGAGAGTGGATGTGAGAAGAGTCTTGCCCCGGCGTATCTATCCCGTTTGCTGAATACTATGTACTAACCTCTGCAGGGTCATTCATCGCGCCGACTACCAGGCCATTCTTCTTGCCGAGGCCCAGCGTCTTGGGGCTGAAATACGAACCTCCTCGCGGGTAATAAGCTTGGATACAGAGAATACAAGGGCCATCCTTGAGGACGGCAGCGCCGTCGCGGCCGACGTGATAATTGGGGCAGACGGTAGCTGTCTTGCCTATCTATCTATAGACGGTCATATGAATGGTGCTAACAACCAGGCTACCTTACCCAGGCCTATGGTCCAATACACGCACCACAATTCTGGACCACCCCTCTCCGCCATCCGAGACTGGGGATCTCGCCTACCGCGCCACCTTTACCCGGGAGTCACTCGTGGCGCTCGGCGACTCACGAATCAACGAGTTGATCCAGGCACAGGGTGTCACTCTCTGGGCGGGACCAGGAGGGCATAGCGTATTCTACCCCGTCAGGAATGGCAGCTTGTTCAATTTAGTGCTCCTGTGCCCGGACAACATGCCAGAGGGCACAAGGACTACTCAGGGCAGCGTTGAAGAAATGAGGGAGTTCTTCAAGGACTGGGACCCAGTGTATTCCATCAATCCTCCGCCCTTCCACGGCTGCTCACGAGATACTAATGGTGCGACAGTCTCAATAAAATTATCTCCCGCATCCCAACTGTTCTAAAATGGAAACTGCTGCATCACAAGGAGCTTGCTCAGTGGACCAAAGCATGTTTTCCCGGAGTTATTATTAGCTAACAACCGCTAACTTGTATTCGCGCAGAATAACATCGCCCTGCTCGGTGACGCCTGCCACCCAACGCTCCCATATCAAGCTCAGGGTGCAGCGATGGCGGTCGAAGACGGGGCCCTTCTTGGCCTGCTTCTGGGCGAATACAACAAGCACCCGGCGGCTTCGGGCAAGTCCATCAGCGGGGTCCTTGCACTCTACGAGAGTATTCGCAAGCCGCGCACAACCCTGAATGTCAATGGAGCCACGAATAATCGGTATTTCTATCACTTGCCCGACGGGCCGGAACAGGCGGAGAGAGATGCCTCATTCGTTGATTATGACTGGATCAGCGGAGATAGCAAGTATTCATGGGCAAACGTGAAGCAACAGAAGGATTTGCTAGCGTGTGATGTTTTGGCAGAGGGGAGAGCAGCCTTCAAATCTTGGATCGACGGTCCAAGATTATAGGTGGTCTTATAATCCCCAGCACTAATACTACCTGTCCTCAATTTATTCCAGCTCATATTTTCTTCTCCCGCGACTGCGCAATTGAAGTACATGGTATCCAGTGGTCTGCTAGTATAGAAACGGGTGAATCGGTATGACGTTATCGCATCCACCGCTCTGGACGATAATGCTGTCCTCAGCTAGAAAAAAGAACATCCTAGAAGCAGTGTAGAATTAGATATCAGATGCTGTTGTCCTGCTATGGGGTTGAACTATTCTCTTCGGCCGTATTGTCGGGGCTGACGCCACCCATGACACAACGTGGAAACGGGCATACATGGGATGGCTGAGACGAATTAGTTCAAGTTAGCAGCGTTTCCTGGAGATACCTGCGAGGGCTGATATATGTCGGATATACGGTGTATTGATGTATGTCGCTTGATCGGTACTACTAACCAGGCACTTTGTCTCCGTTAGCCAAGCAGCCACATGTAAATCCTAGTGACAACAGCTGCCTCGAATGTTGATACTGGGTTCTTGACAATCAACTATACTTTTGGCCAACGGACTAAAGTCCGCCGTACGAGAATGAGAACTGTTTATCTATCACCACAGACGACATGGATCTATCCTAGAAGGCATTAACGTCGCGTAGATACGCAGGAGGGAACAGTCCGAATATGGAAGCCCGACGCGGTACCCCTCAACTATGTCTCTAGATCCGCTGATAGGATGTCGGAAAGGCCGAAATGAATGAGGGGAAGTCGATCAGATAGGAGCTAAGCGTTATCGGATTGTTCAACGAGACTGAAATGTGCCTGTGTTTGCTATTAGTGACCACCGTATACGAATGCTGTGCGGACTATGCAAGTATTCATGCAGAAGACTGTTGTATGCGCAAACATCCATGACAATATACACGTTTCCTATACCCTATCGGAGCAGTTGAGCTGAAGGATCCGGATGGGAGCAAGAGGTCCTACTTCATGCGGGGTAAGGTGCATGATAACTAGAATCAAACCCCGTTGATGGCTTCCATCTGGCATATCTAGATGGCCATTCTCATTCTCCGTCCAAAGCTCTTTGGCATGCACTAATTACCGCACTTATATACAAGATGGACGCGGACAGCATGGAGCCCCCGGGGACTGTCCAGATTGAAGGTAGGACCAGGAGATATGTTACCAGTCCCTAACGCTAACACAGAAAGAATGGAACTCGATCGTTCTCCAGCCTCCTCCTACGGATGACCCCGACGATCCACTCGTAAGTGCGCAACGACCGAGACTGAAGAAGCAACGGCTGACGAGATGCTCACCGGATCTATAGAACTGGTCAAAGTTGCGAAAGACAGTTAATTTCACCCTCGTACTGCTCTTCACGCTCTTTACATTCACTCTCGTCGATATCGGAACAGTAGCATGGGGCCCAATGAATGAGCAGCTCGGCATCTCCTTTGAGAACATGAACAACTCCTTTGCGGCAAACCTCGCTGGTCTCGGCGTATGCTGTATTTTCGCCATTCCGTTAGCCCACAAGTATGGCCGGCGTCCAGTCTACCTGGTTAGCTTGCTTCTGCAGATCGCAGGTTCCGTCTGGCAGGCAAAAATCACCACATCATGGGAACTGATCGTTTCAAATGTTGTAACCGGGGTTGCAGGTGCAGTTAGCGAGGTCATGGTGCAAATGACAGTCAATGACCTGTTTTTCGTTCACCAGAGAGGAAAGGCAAATGGAATATATTTGGTGATGGTGTCGATGGGGGCATACGTTGCCCTTGTTCCGGCTGGATTTATCACCATCTCCCAGGGTTGGCGTTGGATCTGGTGGTGGTGCGTCATTCTCATTGGGGTGACCTTCATCATCTTCGTGTTCTTCTACGAGGAGTCAAAGTTTGTTATGACACTTGTGGGAGAAGGTATACCTCATGATGCAGGCAAGGACATGAACAAGTCGAAAGCGTCCCTGCCAGACGACGTGCCTCCGGTTGCCGTGCCGAAGAAGAGCTATAAAAAACGCCTGGCCTTGGTCACCAAGACAGATACACCCGTCTTGCAGCATATCGTCCAGCCATTTCAGTTACTATTCACCTTCCCGGCAGTCACTTATACCGCCATCATGTACGGCTCGCTCCTGTGCTGGTTTTCGGTCCTTGCCACCACCCAGTCGACCTACCTCCTGACTCCGCCGTACAACTTCTCCGCGTCAGGAATTGGCCTCTTCAACCTGTCTACCTTTATAGGAACAGTACTCGGGAGTCTCGCAGGTGGACCTATCAGTGACTGGTGGATTGTGCGTCAAGCCAAACTTAACAACGGAATATATGAGCCCGAGATGCGTCTCTGGGTGCTGCTCCCCGGGATCGTCTTATGCCCCGGAGGCATCCTTATTTTTGGATTATGCATGGCATGGGTAGGGTCAAGCATTTTGAGATAATTATGCGATTACTAACGTCGATATCAGGGCGTGGCGTGGATTGTTGTCGCCGTGGGCGCGGCAGTCTTTGGTTTCTCATTTACACTGATCGCCGATGTGTCCCTTTCCTACCTGATGGATTGCTACCAGGAGGTGAGTGTCTATGCTATGTTTTGCACGCCCGGACGCATTGCTAATATAAGTTTAGGTCGTGGGTGACGCTTTTGTTGCGGTCACATTCATCCGGAATGGACTGTCGATGATTTTCGTATTTTGCCTCAGTCCATGGATTGCAGCGACAGGTCTGGAGAATATGTTTATCGCGGTCGCATGTCTTTCCTTCGCCATAAATTGTATTACCATTCCAATGATGATTTGGGGCAAGAAGGCAAGGCGGGCCACGGCAGGACGATATCGAACGATGGCGCTGGCGCGACGCCATCAACCGCGATGATTATGATTGGTAGGCCGGCTTGGTAATTGTTTGTTCGTTCTTTATATCAGCTGACAGACGTTCTAGTGATGGTTGTGTCTTGAAAGCCAACGATTCTGTACATATCTGGACATTCCTTTCTTCCATCCCAGCATTGGGCAGCGGGACCACTCCTGGGTGGCCGAGAATCTCAACTAAGCCTAATGAGAATATTCCAGCTCCAGAGCGCCACCAGAGGAATTAATCCTGGGGCTTTCTTGCCTCCAAGACATGGACAGGTCTGGAACCACCTGTGTTCGTGCTCCTGCTGGCTGCCTCCAGTTACAAAGTTACACCAAGCCCGGTACGAGGTGTGATATGGTGCCAGCAAAGCAGCGCAAGAAATGGGAATGACAGAAGAAAAGAAAGCATAAGTAGTACTTAGAACGTAATCCACGCTTTGTCATCGCTGCCATTGGTGTGTTGGAGGGTGTCATACTAACTGTGGCTTTCGCAAGAAATGACAAAGCATGAGGCCAGACCATTCCATCGACAGTAAACATACATATATAATCCCATTGCTTAACTACCTACTGATCCCATTTATATGAGACTAAATGGATACACCATAGATGTAGCTACTTCGTAGAAGTAGCTCACTTGCCTCAGGACGGAAACAACCTCATCATCTCCATCACATATAGTAAATCCACGACCGTCCCACCCAATAAGATCCAACAATGACCACTATCGCGCCGAGTCAAGTCACCACCTTGTGCCGAGAATTTCACTGTGCAAGGAACACCCCTATAGGAAATACCGACCCCCCGACCACCACATCCGCCCCTGCAAAATTCACCCTTATGCCAAGCAGCCAACCTATACCGGTGAAGACAATCAGAATATGGGAAGTCCTGCTCCCCGACGGCCGGGGCGACGGCATCGCAGGACTGAGCGTGATCTGGACCGACGACGACGAGCAACGTGCCGGACGGTGCGAGGGCCCGGCCTCGAAGCAGTTTCACTTCGGCACGCGGGAGAGAATCCAAATCATGTATATCTATGCGGAAGACCGCGTCGATGGACTCTGGTTCGTGACGGATGCGCAGAAGTCATTCTTTCCCGGAAAGTCGAGCACTCGGTACGAGATGGGTAATTTGGGGGATGGCACGCTGGTTGGATTTGAAGGCACGCTTGCTGCGGATGAGAGCGGGTTTTTGTCATTGGGGGCGACCTTTCGACGGCCTGTATGGAGTTAGATGGGATGGAGTTGGGCCGGCTCCGTAGCTGGCTTGCCGGTTGGGAGTGTGGGATCCTCACAACAAGGTATACGCATCATCTGTATCAGAGAACGTCCGTCTTTACCCACATATTTATGGCGGTGTCTTCAGTTATATGACAAAATGTAAGCAATTCTTTGTTGTGACACTACTGGGTCAAAGTGAAGCACTTGGCCGGAGCCTGGAGAGCGTCACAATATATATATCTTGGAGAGAGAACTCATTAAAATGTCCAACAAAGAATACATGTCAAACTGAGTGCCAATAACAATATCCACGAATGTACTGGTGCAAAATTCGTACGAATAGAGCATTTGGGTGGCCGAAGCTGAAGACCGGGAAAAAAAAAAAAGATTCCCCCGAGCCGGAATCGAGCCAGCGACCTTTCGGTGAAATGTGTCCAATTACAGCCGAACGTCATATCCAACTAGACCATCGGGGGTTTGTTACTGAGAGACAGAAAAACCGGCACTATCAAGCAAAGCAATTCCCAGGAGATTCACTCCAGCCTACTACATATTGAGACGGTTGTCCCATTGTTTAGGACGTGAAATGTACTGCGGAATGATGATGGTATTCGGAACTAGCTAAGCGGGAGGAACCGTCCTAAGGAAGCAGCCTCTTATCACACACAAATCGCCCTTGGGACGATTTAGTCGGATAACGCTGGATTCGCTGGTATGGGGTTCGCTAGCCTGGTAGTCACGAATTCGATCAACCGCCGATAGACGGAGGCGACGATGATTCCCGCATGTTCATATTCTGTACCGGCCATAAGTGAAGCAGACGCTCAGAATATATGTATGAATGTAGGCCTACATCTCCACGAATACGATATACGATATCGCTCTTGATTCCGAACTTGTCGCAACTCACCCCACACTAGATATATGCGCTAACTAAATGAACCGGGCTGACTCACTCCACATCCAACAATCCCCAATATCTCGGCCCCGAGCTGCATACCGGTCGTCAACGCCATGAGTGAAAGGGGGTCAGAGCTATACTTCCCTCCGGGAAATATTCCTATCCGCTTCTTCAAGGCATGCCGATGGTGCAGGAAGCAGAAGATGCGCTGCGACGCGCGCACCCAGGTCCCTTGCACCCGCTGTCGCTCGACCGGCCGGGATTGCATCCTAGATCCGATTGAGGGAGGCGCTCGACGGCGCACAGGGAGACATAGAACTCCGGCGCTTGAACATTCAAGGTAGAGCCAGCCGCCAAGGCTGTCGGATGTGTTTTGTTGCGTGGTAGGTTAACGATAATGCAGGCCGAGGAGTATGCGACATGGCTCCGAGACAAATGCGTCGAGGGAGCTACAATACTCCCCGGCTTCAGGCCGTGATGTTCCTTTGGAGACATCCATAGATTCTTTTCCTGGACTGGTTCCGGGGCGCGATGCGCGCGCATCACAGAGCGTTGATCACCATGGACCGGAATCACAGGAGCTGAGTCCAAGCGATATGATCGCGCCCGTGTCTGTGGTTCATTCCATGTCGGTGAATCTATTGGGTTCGAATAGTGTGCGCGCCCCTGTGCTACGTCTGGTCTTGCGCACTGCTAAGTTCTACGCAGATCTTCATGGAGAATTCGGCCGAGGTGGATCCGAGAAAGGACATCATCGCTCGAGGGATCATTAGCGAAGAACATGCCCGAGTCATGTACGAGCGGTGAGTTGCACGCGCCTGTCAGGATGGCGAGGGTAAATAGGGCTTATGCACTATCTAGGTTTATCGGGGGAAGCAAGAACTTTTTGGGACTCTTCGATCCTATACGCGACACCTTTGACTCTATGCGTTCGCGATCGCTGTTCTGTTTCTCTGTAATCATCTACCTGTCGAGTCGTGCCATGGTGGACCTACGGAGTGACACGCATCTGCAACGCGTACTCCAAGACGAAGCCCAGAGGCTGGCTGAAGACAGCTTCTTCGAAAGACCGACGAAGGTGGAGACTGTACAAGGAATGATCCTGCTGGCTGCGTATTCCGAGAAGACCTGGTTTTCAACAGCATTGATCCTCCGCACCGCACTTGACTCCGGTCTAGAGAAGTCACTGGATAGACTCTTGTCCCAGGAGACTGTACCGCGAAGCTCGCTGTCCGCTTCATTGGAAGAACGAAAGCTAGTATGGCAGACGAGGACATGGCTGATCAGCTTCACCCTGGAATTAGATGTAGCATCTGGGACTGGACGCAAATCACGTATCAATGAGGTCGATATTGCGACGCTACGGAAATTTCTAGAGTACCCTCTCTCCCTTCCGTGCGATATGCGCACAGTGTCTATCATTGAAATCCATCAATTGCGAGGTTGGTCCAGTTACGCTGAACTTATGACCTGAACTAAAGACAAGATAGGACGGTATCGACTGCTTATTGAGAATTGTCGGACTATAGACGAGATCGTCACCAAGGAGCTGCCGGCGATCATGTCAAGGCTACATAATTGGTGGGTTACATGGGATGAGATCCACGAAAGTACGTTCACTCATTGACAAGCCATACCAATCTCTCATTAGTACTGATTGTAATACAGACAACGGCTTCCACGCTGGCGCCTTTCAACGGTGCAGCCTTAAGCTCATGTTGAACTACGGCCGGATCTTTGCCCTCTGCGCTTCATTGGCCCGGATCCAAAGGCTACAGTCTGCGGTACCAGAGCCTGACCGGCAGGAGGAAGACGTGCTCAATCTTTGGAAATCCCTTGTTAGTACAATAATGGACCAACTGGGATTCCTGATTATAGAGACGTCCTATCGTTGCCAATTCCCCTGGGCCCCGACGTATCCAGCCCTGACCATTGCCTTTGTCAGTGAGTTGTCCCAGCTTTAAATCTTCAGGATATATCTAACGAATAAGCAACCTTTGCGTTACGTATCGCTCGCTGGCGACCCGCTCTCATCGATCAGGAGCTACTCCTCGAAAGGGCGCAGCAAATATGTGATTTTCTACGACAGCCGCCTTATCCAGATATCCATCGGACAGTTTCAATATTTGTCACATATGCCCGAGCCCTCATTGCCGACCAACGGCCACCACCCAGCCCAGACGCAGAGATACCCAATGCAAGTGATGCTGATAATGCCAGGACAACCGCACCACAAGCAAGCCTCACCAATCTTGCACCTCCAGCGGGACTCGCGGGGCTAGAGGATCCTAACAACAGAGGTGGGCCGGCCATGTACCACGGTGGAAGAGAAGGGATGGTCTCTATTAGTGGAAATGATAAGCCTGCAGTGTGCAGACCGCCGCTCCCCAAGATCCCCGGCGCTGTTGAAGTTCCCAATTGGACGCTGTCGAATTCCATCGCGGATTCGTTCGGTCTCTTCGAGGAGGAGCAGAACGACATTTTTGATTTCCTGCCGGTCATGCCTTCGATGCCGTGAGACTCAACGCACTGGCCGCTTGTGTGAATATGTTTCGACTTTGGAGCTAGATTGTCTACCTCTATGAAGTATGATGAACGTGCAAAATATATAGTAGTATCCCCCTATCGCGAAGATAAAGATCTTACCAGGAGTACACGTAAGCCCTTAGTAACAGGAATCCACAATTCTTGATAGAAGATGACAATCCATGTGTCGAGCCCAATTCTTCAGGGCCCGTCCTCCGGAGTAGAAATCCGACATCCACCACCCGGCGTTGGGGTTGCAGATCAACATTCCGGTCCCTGATCGGCTCCGCGTGCGGGCATCCTGCATGTCCGGAGCCGGTACGGCGCCGGCTACCACATCAAATTTTCGAACTATACGGAACACTCATTGGTAAAGCTATGCATGAATGCTCCCTCAAACTGGTTTTCCGCTTGTAGACCTTATGGCTAGGCCAGTCGAGATGTTTTTTTTAGCGTGACTCACGTAGTTTTCATTCCCCACCGGGTCTTAGAAGAAAATATACATATTGTTATTCAATCCCCGATAAAAGTCAGGTTTTTGCTGGACAAATTGTTCGGGACAGGCTCATGAGGCAGTCGGTTAACTTCCGTTGAGCAGACAACATGACGACACAGGCTACTATTATCCCTAGTTGCCCCGAGGCTCCTGTCAAATCCTCAGGTGGGATCGACATTCCAATGAGTGCTTGCGTACGCCTCTTGCTAATGGTAGTCGTATATCAGCATGGAAGTATGGCTCTTATGGAGGACCTGATAATTTGCACAATGCGAGTTCGATAATCGCAATGGTGCAAGAGGGGTACCGGCTGGTCAAGCTGTCAGAGCATCAAGTGCTCGTCGAGTTTGAAGATGGGTCGAGCGAGAACCCGTCTAACTGGCAGTTTGTGAGTGTTCATCAGATAGAAGCTATGAGAATAAGCTCATTGACAACCTCATTTCCAATTAGACCCGAAAATTGTACATCGCCATTGTGGCACTGCTTCTAGTTCTCAGCGGTGGAATAACGTCCTCCTTGCCCAGTAACTCCGTCGAATCCACGATGCGAGACTATAACGTGAAAGGTGACATGAACAAAGTCCTACCGACGGCTGTGTTTCTTATCGGATACATGGTTGGGCCCATCGTGTTCAGTCCACTCAGTGAGACCATCGGACGGAAACCTGTTCTTCTCTGGACATATAGTCTGTTCGTTCTCGGGTCGCTAGGAACGGCTTTGGCCCCGGACTGGCGCTCGATGCTGGTATTCCGATGGATCTGCGGGACTGCAGGGTCGGCGCCGCAGACGGTGGTTGGAGGTGTGTACGCTGATTTGTTCGCGGATCCGAGGATGCGAGGACGCATGATGGCCGCATACATGTCTGTATGTATGAATATTGAGTTGGTGGGTCGAATGATGTTCTGACTGACAACCCAAGGCAACGAGTTTTGGCCCTATCCTTGGGCCGATCATTTCAGGCTGCGTGCTTCCGGATGACTGGCGCTGGTGCTATCGGCTTGTGACCGTATTTTATGGATGCGTGTGGATTGCGCTGATGTTTATTTCCGGTGAGCCGTTTCCATGTGTCTTCTATGGGATTGCGCTGACGAATACTGAAGAGACGTTCGGGCCCTATATCATGAAGAAGGAAGCAATGCGTCTACGAAAGGAATCCAATTCGAAAGACTATGTCACTCGACAGGAGTTGAACTCCACCGGCTTCAAGGACGAAGCACTTCAAATCTTGACGCGACCCCTTACGATGCTGATCTTTGAGCCTGTCGTGTTGTTTAGTTCCATCTATCTTGCCTACGCATATGGGTTGATCTTCTTCTCTTTCCAGGCCTATCCCATTGTGTTTGAAGGTATCCACACTGCAACCTCAAACATAGGATTGACAATGATATCCATATTGACTCGTTCTCTAGGTACTTATAACTTCTCCGTGCAGGCAACAGCTCTTGCATTCATCGCTAGTAGGCCAACCCCCCTACCATCCCAACCATCCTCGCTAACAAACGACAGTCGGCATCGGCGCATCGTCATCGGGCTTCTTCACCCTCTTCTACGATACAGTCTACGAAAAAGCCAAATCAAAAGGCCGAGCCTGGACCTCACGGGCCGAGTTCCAACGCCTCCCAACAGGATGCATCGGCGGCCCGTGCCTCACCATCGGGCTGTTCTGGCTGGGATGGAGCGCCCAGCCGCACGTCCACTGGATCGCGCCCGTGCTCTCGGGCGTGTTCTTCGGCTTCGGTTACCAGATCATTTTCATCTCCCTGCAGACATATATCGCTGATGTGTACAGGATTTATTCTGCAAGTGCACTGGCAGCGTCGGTGGTCACGAGGAGTCTCGTCGGCGCGCTGCTGCCGCTGGCGGCGGACCCGCTGTACGAGGCGCTCGGGGTGGGATGGGGTACGTCGGTGGTTGGGTTTGCGAGCCTGGCGTGCATTCCGATTCCGTTCGGGTTTTTGTATTTTGGCCCGTGGATGAGGAAGAAGAGTCCGTTTTGTCGGCGGTTGGCGGAGAGGGGGATGGGGATGTAATGGGTGTTGGGTATGGAGAATGCATGATGGTTAGATAGTTATGCTTTGCTTTGATAGAGAGGTTAGTCTTATATAGATCATAGTTTTCGGATAGATAGATTAATTGATATACCTCTTAATACCGTTCGAACTGATGCCGTAGAAGATGTGCTCCAGGAGAGGAGTCATGATGTACGGAGTAGGCTTCTAGATCCACCCTTCACCATGATCGCCTTCGCATTCAGCGGTATAAAGGCCGAAGGATGATCCATTATCTCCACAGTTGAGGCTCTGTATACTTGTTCAAGGATAGTTCCAGCTGGAATGGAGTCCAGGCACATCATGACCCACCATGCCAACCCGACCCAAGGCATCGCTGACGAAGCCTCCAACAACGAACTATCTCCTACATGGATAAAGCTTTCTATGGCACCACGTCAAAGGTGGAGGCAGGCAACCCATCATGAGGCTATCCCCGCCACAGACAAGCAACGCACTAGACACTCACCCGTCCCCATTCCCTCTTTCTGTGCCAGTCTAGTTGGTAACACGCATCCAGATCGGACCAGATCGGACGCAGGCAAGGCTGACCGTGCAAGCAGGGATGGCAATGACTCAGAGTGGCTGTTACTCAAAGATCAGCACTTGACAGGCCATGCTGGAGCCAGTCAGACGGCCGCGGGGCTAAGACCGTCAGCGCCTCACAGGCAACCACGATGCATCGCCACTATCCACATTGCCTTGGCGCCGCTTCATCGCAGCTGGCGATCTGACTCCAGCTTCGCGGCGTATATACTATATTACTACACTGCTCGTAGCTTACATCCTCATCAAATCTTCGCTCTGCCCTGTTTCCTCAAGCTCTCGTGGTGGCCGTCAAGGTCGCCTGGTCTTATCCCGAGGCGTCCGATTACTTCCCCGCAACATGGCGCTTATCGAGCTCCCCACCGAACTCCTCCTCGGGGTATGGCAGTATCTCGAGGAGGAGCATGACATGAACCGATTCGTACGGACGTGCCAGCGATTCTACAAGAACTTCAACGGTCCGCTTTATCGCCATAATGTGGTCTCGTCCGGACAGGCCATCCCGTGGGCTGCAGAGAACGGCCGACACGAGACGCTGCAGAAGCTCCTGGACCAGGGCGCTGGGCAGATCATCGAGTACGACGAGTGGCCGCTGTTTACGGCCGCCGAGCACGGGCAGGCGGTGATTGTGGAGATGCTCTTCAAAGCCGGCAACACACCGCATATGAAGGATGAGCGCGGGACCACCGCGCTGTTTCACGCCGCGAAGGGCGGCCACACGGAAGTGATTAATTTGCTGCTGGAGAAGGGGGCGGAAATCAATGCCCAAAACAACTCCGAGGATTCCGCGCTACGATGGGCCACGAAGTACGATCGGCCGGATGCTGTGGCCCTGCTGCTGGAGAAGGGGGCCGACCCCGACCGCATCGAAGACGACTATACGCATTTGATCTACGCAGCCAAGGACGGATCCGCCGAGGTGGTGCGAGTACTGCTGAAGTGGACCAAAGATATCAACACCAAGGATCCCCGATACCAGGAGACGGCGCTCATGTGGGCTGCAGAGAACGGCCGGAAAAGAGTGGTCGACATACTGCTGGACGCGGGGGCTGATATCCATGCGGCGGACAACAGCGGCATGACGGCGCTGTCCTATGCTGTCAAAAAGGGGCATAGATATGTGGTGGCGGCGCTGCTTCGGAAAGGCGCAGACCCAGAAGCGCCGGTGACGCGGCGGCAGACGTGTCTGGCGAGAGCAGCTGAGGAGGGGCACTTGGAAATCGTCCGTTTGCTTCTAGCACATGGTGCTGCGCCGGACGCGAAGAGTGGTTATTCGGATAGAAGGCCGTTGTCGTTCGCGGTCGAGAACGGCCACAAGGCCATCGTCCGGTGTTTATTGGGGACCGATCGAGTGGACATCGACGCCCGCGATAGAGAAGGACTGACTGCTTTGTCATGGGCTGCTGCTAAAGGAGACTTCAACGCGGTAACGACCTTACTCGAGCGCGGTGCGCGTCCTGACAATGTGGATGGCGAGGGCCGTACACCGCTGGCATGGGCAACAACAAATGGCCATTCTCGAGTAGCCAGACACCTCCTGAAGCAACCGGGAGTTGACCCCAACACGACAGATTCAAACCACGAAAGTATACTGCGCATTGCCGTGAAGCAGGAGGCCACGGCCCTGGTGCGCGACCTTTTGAAGCACGGCGCAGACCCGACCATCTGCGACGACATGGGTCGCACGCCTCTCAGCGTCGCGGCCGAGCGTGGATATACCAAAACCGTCTTGGTGCTGCTGGATGATGGTACTCCACGGAGGACATGGAGTGGCAGAGCGCATGCCATCCCAGACGGAGCAGAATGCCCCTGTCCTTCGGGACGGTTCATTCGCGCAGGCCGTGGCCGAGCAATAGATACCCCCGACAAGTTCGGTCGCACGCCCCTGTTCTTCGCCACGTTACATGCACACGAGGATATAGTGAGGGCCCTGTTGAGCAGGGGCAGCTCGGCCATTGAAACCCCCACCGCTGCGGGCAGAACTCCTCTGTCCGTGGCCGCCGAACATAAGGATGCGGCCATTGAGGCGAAGCAATTCTATCGGTTGCAGTACATCTGGCAATGGTTTCGTTACCCGTCCGAGGCCAATGTCGATGCAGTCCGGATGGCAGAAGCAGCTAAGTTGCCAATAGAGCCTGACGCCGATGATTATCCATGGTGCGATCACTGCAGGCTGAGCTTCTTCCCCTGGGACACCATGTTCCATTGTGATTGCAATGGAGACAACTATGATCTGTGTGCAGAGTGTCTGGGGGGCGGGATCAAGTGTCTCGATGAGACGCATGTTCCTTCAGAGAGGGAAATTGGATGGCGCACATAGCCTGTAACGATATATGTCACGAATGTTACGATAGGATGTCCGAAATGGATGAAGCTCAACCCACACAGCACTAGAGGTCATATGTCACTGTCCCACAGGTGTAGAATAGTGCTTGAATCCGTGGAACGTTGAAGATCTGTCGTCGTTCACAGACAAATGGTCGAGAACATCCACTCACACACAATGACGATCAACATAGATGCCGTGGGTAGTACCTGATCGGTGCAACTTTTCCGCCATCAACACCCTATCATCGTGCGTGCCGTCCCTGATTAGCTCTGGATATCTCGTGTTTGTTGAGATGGCGAAGTTTCGGTCGGAATAAGGTGCTTATTCGCCATGTTCGCTGTCGCTGATGACTTCCCATGCCTCCGGTCGCCCTTGATGACTGCGATGTTTCCTCCGACCCCGAGATTACTGAACATACAGAGCATTATTCTGTAACTATCCTGTACTCGCCGCAAACAGCTCCTGGCTGCCAAGATTGAAAAAATCCCCGAGCGAGACACCCACGAATTAGTTCGGCCGCTATGGCTTTAGACCCATGGGCCGCACAGCACTGAATGCAACCCTAAACCGCATCGAGCAACTCGGACGAGTATCCTTGACCAGCGCATGCTGGCGCCCGTTCGGGCGCAACAGCACGAGTCCTTTGGCGTGCTTGGTGGAGATAACAGCAGCGTGGTTATTGGTGGCTCCAGGGTAGTACTAATTAGTATGGGCTCAGAGCCTGTCCAGACCCAGTCATGGCGCAGATAACAGTCCAAGCGAGGCGAACTAACAGAGTCTTCCCCGTGTTTAGTGGAACGACGGCTGCAAAGAACAAGCCAACCCTGGACAAAGAGCTCTTAACCCGGTAGACCCTGAGAGAAACAGGTAGTATCCTTAGCCGAGTGATGGTTTCGAGACGGTGGTGTCTCTCTCTTCCCCCCCCCTCCCAAAATGGACGGCTGCTACTCCTTCGCACATCTCGCCACCGGATTCTCTATTACGGCATGATTCACGCTGGAGTTGATATTTAGATCCCTACGGCTTAAGTTCGAACCTCTGCTTCAGGTAGAGAGAGCCGATGGGTGGCAGTCGATGCGCGCGGCAGTGAGAGCAGCGGTTAGCGATACATCGACACTCAAACAGCAGCAGTCTGAAATATGGCTGCTTTACTCAGGCCCCTTGCGACAGGGTCGTGGAAGAGTTCCACGCGATTTTCCTATCTTGTGTTTGCGGCGTTCGGGATTCTCCTTTTTCTAGGCTCATCTCTCTATCTCTTCCCGACCGGCTATGAGCGTCGCCCCGTCGACTGGGGCGTCATCCACGAAGCGCCAGGCGCCCATCCTATCGACTACCTGATCGTTGACGCCAACGACCAATGGCTCCGTATCCTCGCGCAGGAGAGCCACGACGTCAAGAACGCATCCAGCCGGTACCGGCAGCGGCGTGGCCGTCACCCGCCCCCGGGTTTTGACAAGTGGTTCGAGTTCGCTCGGTCCAAAGATGCGATCATGGTGGAGGATTTCTTCGACCAGATATACGACGACCTGAGCCCGTACTGGGGTATGAGTCCGGAAGAGCTGCGTCGGCAGGCCAGCGGACAAACGCCGCGCATCGTTGTGCGTAATAACAACGCCACGAATGTGGGACAGGCAGGACCTGCACACTGGATGGAGGCATGGCTGGAGATGGTCTCCGGGATTCAGGAGTACCTGCCGGATCTTGATATGCCCGTCAACGGAATGGATGAATCGCGGATTATCACCCCCTGGGAGACTATTGCCGAGTATACATTGCAGGAACGGTCGAAGCGTCGGCTTGTGAACGCCACCGAGATCGTGTCGGAGTATATGACCCTGCCGGACCCGAAAGTGGTAAAGCCGGAACTATTCGAGCCGATAATGGGGAATCCTGGTGTTTGGAACATGGTGCGCGCATCCTGTCCTCCGGATAGTCCATCGCGCAACAGCAACATGCCGACGATGGACTTCGCGAACCCGCCTGCGGCTTTTAACAACTACCTAAACATCTCGGAAGATGGCTACGTGAAGAACTGGACGCTGTCCAAGGACCCGTGCGTTCGTCCAGAGTTACAGTCGCTTCATGGAACGTTTATCGAGCCGATCACTGTGCGGTCGAGCACTAAACTGTTCCCGCTGTTCGGCGGATCCAAGCTGCCCGTGAACAACGAGATCCTCATCCCACCGGCGATGTACTGGGCCGACGACCCCTTATACTCGGGCGGAGAAGACCACGGCGGATCGTGGTCCGACAAGAAGGACGTGTTTTTCTGGCGCGGCCTTGCATCAGGCGGCAGAAACCGCGAGGAGACGTGGACCGGCTTCCAGCGCCACCGTTTCGTCTCGATGATCAACGGGACCCAGGTTGGACTGGCGCAAAGCAACGACTCGCACTTTGTCAACTTCCGCCTCCCCGACTACGATTACTACCAGCTTGCCAGTGGGCGTGCGGGTAAACTGCCCGAGTTCCTCGACAACCATACCGATGTCGGGTTCACTGGGCTGGCGTGTTTCCCCAACACCCACGAGCCGTTCTGCGACTACACGGATCCGTACTTCTCGCTGAAGCCGAAGACGCCTATGAAAGAGATGTACGCGAACAAGTATCTCCCGGACATCGACGGGAACTCCTTCAGCGGCCGGTATCGTGCGTTCCTCTTGTCGACTTCGCTGCCGATCAAGGCGACCATCTATAACGAGTGGCATGACTCCCGGCTCATCCCGTGGGCTCATTTCGTCCCCATGGATAGTACTTTCATGGATATCTATGGGCTCATGGAGTATTTCCTCGGGTTTGAGGGGGACCCCGGCCACGACTCCATTGCTAAGAAGATTGCGATGGATGGGAAGAGCTGGGCGGAGAGAGTGCTTCGACGAGAGGATATGCAGATCTACGTTTATCGCTTGCTCCTGGAGTATGCGCGGATTTGTGACGACCGACGAGATGTGTTGGGATATGTTGACGATCTACGGTGATTTTTTCCTTGCACAAGGATTAGACATAATAATTGATAGCATGCTTGCATGATGACGGCGTTTTGTTTCTATAGTTGGCCACGATCTGGATACTGTATATATCTGAATGCATATGTCCAAGAAGGAAATACTCACTTCTCAATGGTGTATCGAGAGGTCGCTTGCCCAGTTCTCGAGTACTTATTTACAGCTTCGCGACTGTTTATAACTGGCTACTACCTGTCCGTGGGGACTGAATTCCGGCGAATGAAAGCAGCTTGACGAGGAGTGAAGCATCTCCTCTATGAGAGTTTGCCTGGACCGATGTCTCCCCGTTCAGGATGTTACCAAACGCCGACTTTTCCACGCTGACGACAAGCGAAGCATCACCTTCCACAGAAGACGCGTCAGAGGCATTTCTGTACGTCAGGACACCGTTGCTCAATATCAATCTCCAACGCTGCTTTGCATCGGTCACGACGACATCAATGATGAACGCCTCAGACGACGCACGAAGCCCATCAACACGAACTGACAGCAACGCCAGCCACTGCTCCACAGACTGCATCGGCTGGAACCCCTGCATCACCGGTGCCTGCGAGGCAGCCGCACCACCAGCGCGCAGGTCCTGCGCAGCGGACAGATAGAAATTGCGCCACGTCGAGTTCTCCGCGCCAAATCCCAGCCTCTCAAACACAGACGCCAGCAGCGTCCGGGATCGCTCATGCCCAGGGTCAAGCGCGACAGTATGTCCCAGGAGTGTCGCGGCGAATCTCAAATCACCATCCTTGGCAAAAGTTTCCGCCTTGCGGACGACTTCATCAATACCCCCCATACACGCGACATACCGGCGGGCGTTCTCAACAGACGGGTATTCCCAGAGATGCGCCGGGTTCCCGTCAAACCACCCCATGTACCGCTGGTAGATCCCCTTGACGTTGTGACTGATGGACCCGTAGAAGCCCTGCGTATGCCACGCAGTCTGCAACGCCGGCGGGAGCGTCAGCACCTCCGCGATCTCGATCCCCGTCATACCCTGGTTCATCATGCGCACGGTCTGATCATGCAGGTAGCCGTACAGATCTCGCTGCTCCGAAATGAGCTGCACAATTGCATCCCGACCCCACGTCGGCCAGTTGTGTCCCGCGCACAGCACATCGGACTTCTGGCCGTACAGCACGACCGCCTCGTCCAGGTACCGCGACCACGCCTTTGCGTCGCGCACTAGCGCGCCCCGCAGCGTGATGATGTTGTGCAGACAGTGCGTCGCACACTCGGCGATGTACAGCGCCCGGTGATCGGGGAAGTAGAAGTTCATCTCCGCCGGCGCTTCCGTCTCGGGCACCATCTGGAACTCGATCCGCACGCCGTCGATGATCCGCGTTTCCCCTGTTGACGAGATGCTCACGTTCAGGGGCACCAGCGTGCTCGTCCCGCTGGAGACGGTCATGCCAATCCCGCAGCCGATCTGGCCCGCGGGACCCTTGGGAAGTCGGTTGCCGTACATGTACATTGCGCGACGGCGCATCGCGGGCCCGACGTAGATGTTTTCGCTTGTTGCCTCTTCGAGGAAGCCCTCCGGCGCGATGATGGGGATTGAAGATGCGTCAGGACCTTGGAGCACGCCGCTTGCGCCGCCGAAGTGGTCAATATGCGAGTGCGAGTAGATCACGCCGGTAACTGGTTTGTTGCCACGGTTCTTGCGGTACAGCGCGAGCGCTTTGGCGGAGCATTCAGCGGATGTGAGTGGGTCGATGATGATGACGCCTTTCTGGGCTTCCACGATGGTCATGTTGGCCAGGTCGAACCCGCGCACTTGGTACATCCCGCGGGTCACTTCGAACAAGCCCTGCATGGATGCGAGCTGGCCCTGTCGCCAGAGCTTGGGGTTCGCGGTGTCGGGACATGGTGCGTTGAGGAAATTGTACGCGTCGTTGTCCCAGACTGTGCGGCCGGTGGAGGTGCGAATCACGCATTCCGGGAGCGAGTCGATGAGCCCACGGGAGGCGTTTTCGAAATCGGTTCTGTCATCGAATGATGGATGGAGAGGCTTGGACATGGTGGCTATTATAATTGACGTCTTGGAAGGACTTGAATGTCAATTGCGTCGGCAGTTTTATACTAAGCAGGACCTCGGCTCAACGCTTAGCTCTAGTAAATGCCGATACCCCACTCAACATGGATTCCCCTCTCTTGGTAGACGATCTCATCGCCCGGTGACAGTTAGTGGATCTACCAGTGTTGGGATTTCGGATATTCTTGCCGTTTCGTGGCGAAGTCGTGGTGTAATGTCCGGGTCGACGATGTGCGACCCACTTGACGATGCCGAGGGAGAAACAACTGCCATGTCGTCTACAATTCATGTCGCCTATATAGCCCTCAAATGGATACAACATCTTGAAAGAGCCTTGAATATTTCGGCCATCTGGAAGGATCGTGCTTTCATCCGGCTCGTATGCATGGTCAAAAGAAAAGCTATATAATTCTGAAGATGACACACAAAAACAAAGAAGCAGACATCGCCGAATGTATAGAATAAATTAAGCTGCCTGTGAATCAGAGACCTTCGGCTTCCTGACACCCATCGTAACTCTTAGATCCATCCACAGGCCCCGAGTGATGTCTCTCAACGCACCGGCGCTTTCCACCTGTAACATATCAGCAACGTCCACAAGGACTAGAGAGACTGTACTTACCACCGGATATACCACGCAGATCAAGACACTTGCCCAGATCCACATCAGCGACACTACCACCCAGCCGGTAAAGAACCTCTGGTTGTAGACATAGCGTGTCCCGAACAACGTGAAGGGGACCAATATCACCGCAACCAGAATGAATATAGCATTCGCAGTCCATGCAATTCTCTCAGCTTTCTTCACGAGAACTGGATCCATGGGCTCTATCTGCTTCGATTCGAGGAACTCGACGACTTCATTCTTGGGCGGTGGTGCCCCTTCCCTTGTCGGAGATTCAGCCACCTCATTGATATCTGTCGGAGCAGATTCCTTGCCCTCTTTACTCGGTAGGTCAACTGTTTCGTTCTTTTCAGGTTCCACTGCAACGCCAAGGATCCTGTTAGAGCGCTCCATGTGCGTCGGGTCTGTCGAAATATGCTTCTTTGGAAAGAGCAGACTCAAGATCACAGCCGAAATAATCCCGACACCGAACGATGCGAGGTTACCGGCCACGGCGTTGGTCCCGTCGCCCGTCGCCTCGACGCTGATCTCCCCGGAGCGCTTCCACGTCGTGATGAACCAGCAAATGATACCGCATGCAAGGCCGATCCACGGCGATGCGATAGCGGCAACCGTGGACATACGGTCCCAGAGCAGGATAAGCCCTACTGGGAGCGAGGCGCCACCCACGATCACGCCTAGTACGGTCAAGAGCCAGGTAAGGCTAAGACCGACTGCGTTGAGGATGCAGCAGAAGGCCGCGAGAACAAGTGCGAAGATCACGATGCCCCAGTGGCTGACGCGGACGAGGGTCGCCGAGTCCGCATGAGGACGGAAGTAGGTTTTGTATACGTCAAAGGTCAGTAGTGACGAGACGGCGATGAGTTCGGCGGATGTTGAGCTGGTGACCGCCATGAAGAGTAGAATCAGCATCAAGACTGCGCCGCCTTTTCCCAGCAAGGCAATGGCCGTTGCTGGCGCGGAGAGCCCAGCGGAGACTTGTTCTGCTGATAGTGGGTTGGGATAGGTAGGGAAGGCTGGGTTGTTGGTGAGGGCTGCGCAGCCTAGTCCCATGGCAGTTGCGAAACCGAATGGAATTCCTAATATCGTTGGTTAGAGGTGACTTGTAAGCCTAGCGTGATGCGCTCCTGTACGTACCATACCACGCGATCCCACCAAGCATGTACGCTTTAACGGCTGTCTCCGGTCTGGAGGCAATAGCACGTTGCCAGTAAGCTTGGTCCAGCCAAACCGTCGTGAACCCGGCCACAAAGAGATCAATTGCAAAGATCAGACCTCCTACAGAGTGGAAAGCCAAGTAGGAGCCATCTGTGTTCCGCTCAATCGGCATATTCTTGGACGCCTCCTGAAGGAGTTCGTAGAGCTTTGCGGGGCTGCCAACCAAGTCGCTCGTCGCAGAGATGAGAAACCCGAACACCAGGATCGCGATAAACAAGATCACAGTATGGGTATAGTCCGCGATGAAAGTCGAACGCAGTCCACCCGCAATGACATACGCCGCAACAACCGCGGGAATCAGGAAATTCGCAACGTAGACATTCATCCCCGTCAATGCCTCCACGACCTGAGCTCCGCCAAGCACCAGGCATGCGCCGACCAGCATGTTCGTCGCAAGGGCATTGTAGAGGTACGTGAGATGCGCGATCTTTCCGTGCCTCGCGAGTACGATCTCCGGCATAGTGTGAGCGCCGGGCGCGTTCGCCTTGATTTTGATCGCAATAAGCGCAAACAAGAGGATCTGCAGTGTGCCCATTGCGCCGTACCACATCGGTCCACAGACGCCATAACTGTATGCGAAGGTCGAGCTGGTGAGAAGCGTTGCGGACCACGTCCAGGAGGATACGATGCCGGCGGATATGAGGCCCGGTTTGATTGAACGAGAAGCGGTGTTGAACTCCTCTGCACGGTGGGTAGAAAAGTTGGTGTATCGGTTTTGCAGCCAGGTCAGGCATAGCATGAAGATTGCGAAGACGCCTCCAATGCCAATGACGATGCCGTATCCAGCTCCTGCTGGGAGGACTTTAAGATCGTCCCCCATTGCTGTGGTTCTGCAGAGAGAGGCTGTTTAGGATGGAGCTCGTTGAGAGCTTACTCCAGGACTGGATGCGCATATATAGATCCCAAGGGTATATTCTTCCACCCCGGCTTATATCAGTCCATGATAATGCTGATCTGCATGGTTATCACTGATAAGAGATGTTTGAAGACATCTCAAGGTTTCCTTGCGGCCCAATGGTATAACGCATGGATTGGAGTTAGAGGTATCTCGTGGCAGCATTGGCCAGGAGGACATCCGAATCATCGTTAGCTTGTTGATAACAACGTCCCGAGTCATGGTCCTGTCTATAGAGTTACCCTCTCCTGGATGCGTATCAGCGTCTCCAAATTACCCCAAATACCTCCAACAGATACTGGCCGCGCATTGTGTGTCGGTGACAAGTCCGATTGCTCTAGACTTGTCTATCTATCCATCTTGGGACTCGAAGGCTTAGAACCAACTTCAGTGAGCTATAGATCCAGCACACAGCCGTATCTATCTCCAAGTTCGCTTTTGTATATTCGGCCTAACCTTTCTCCAAATCTTCACAAATTCTGCCCCACTCCAAAAGTGGGCTTGGTGTGGGATGCTGCTCCGTGGTAATAAGAATGTGCGTGGAATTACATTGGGGTATGCCACAACCGAACAGCCAAGACTGTAGAGCCCCTGATGTACGTAATGTCACTGAACGCACACAAAGCCGACGCACCAGCCATCTTCTCCGTCATATCCGGTTCGAAGATTTGACGACCCCTCCTTCTATTGCTCTAACCAGAAAACAGAAGACACAAAATTGCAATTCAACGATGGCTTCCGGAATTTCGACACGAGCTTCCGAGGTTGCTCACTCGGGCGCAACCAACCTTATGTGGGATGTCATGAGTGATTCATGGTGTCCAGCAACGAATCCCCAAGGTTACGTCAATGTCGGAGTGGCCGAGAACTTCCTCATGCATTCCACACTGTTGGAGTTCATCAACAACAAGCTAGATCTCCCAGCAAAGTATCTGACGTATAACGACGGGGGACACGGGTCTGTACGGTTGAGACGAGCAATCGCGCAATTCCTCAGCCGACACCTTCATCCAGTCAAACCACTGGACGCCAACCAAGTCGTGGTAACGAACGGCGTATCGACCGCCATTGAACAGATGTCATGGTGCCTGGCAGACCCCGGCGAAGGCATCCTCCTGGGAAGACCCTACTATGGAACTTTCATCCCGGACATCTCCCTGCGCCCAGGCTCAAAGGTCGTGCCTGTGAATTTTGGAGAATGTGATCCGTTCAGTCTCGAGGCGGTGGACAAGTATGAGGAGGCATTGTTGGAATTCCAAGAACGCACCGGCAGCAAAGTCAAGGCTGTCATGCTCTGCCACCCTCACAACCCCCTCGGCCGGTGCTATCCGAGAGATGTGCTCATCAAACTCATGCGCTTCTGCCAGAAATACCGCATCCATCTGATCAGCGATGAGATATATGCCCTGTCGGTATGGGAGAACACGGTCGACGACTCCCCGCCCGCCGTGCCGTTCGAGTCCGTCCTCTCCATCGATCTCCGCGGGATTATTGATTCCCAGCTGGTCCATGTACTGTGGGGCATGAGTAAGGATTTTGGTGCAAACGGACTGCGACTCGGAGCGATTATCTCCCAAGGAAACCCCGAGCTCCATATGGCGCTCAAGGGCACCACGATCTACTCCTATTCATCCCAGGTCGCCGACCACCTGACGTCCCTGGTGCTGGAGGACGAGGCATTCACGGACGAATACATACGACTCAACAGGGAGAAGCTTTCTGCATCGTATACATATGCAGCCAAATACATGACAGATTGCGGCATCGAGTACGCCCCTGGTTGCAATGCAGCATTCTTCCTCTGGGTGAACCTGGGGAAGAGATATCGAGAACTCCACCCCAATGAAAGCGAGAGCGAGGATATTGGCGACAAGGTCATGCAGCGGTTGCTGAAGCATAAAGTTTTCCTGGCCAGTGGCGCGCTGTTTGGATCTGAGAAGAGTGGATGGTTTAGAATAGTCTTTTCGCACTATCCGGAATACCTAGACGAAGCTTTGCGAAGGATTGTTGCAGCTTTGGAAGCCTAGATAGTTAGAATTTTGCACTAAATATGATGGCGGTCCAGTGTTAAATAACATTGTAGCTGGTGCTAGCACTCGAGAAATAACCACAGTGTTGCTGGTATTGCGTTAGTTTGCGTGCTAATGATGCAACGCTGTGCTTACATGATTGCCTCAAGAGACTAGTTAGTATGTTCGCATATAGACAGGCGTATTCGTTATGAATATCACATTGTTAAGATGGAAATAACACAATGAAATTATACAGCCACAAATTGGTCCAAGGGCGCGGGCCCTATAACCAGATCGAATTAAATCCAATGTACAATCAGAAAGACAAGCTATGTGCAGGCAAAATCAAATCAACCCGTCGTGGTCCATCAACAGACCCCCTTGGGAACATCAAAACTATCGACCCGGATGCCATTCTTCAGTGCCGCACGCTCACCAAGACCGCGCTTAGCGAAGCCCTTCCAAATCTCACATTGGTTACCACTCTTGGTGAGAGCGACGTCGGCATCCAGGATAGCATCGCGGGCTTGGATGAAGCTAGGATTGCAAGGTTGGCTGTAAACTGATCAGAACAAAAGGCATACGACAAGTAGAATGGGAACATACAGAGCCATGCCGTCCATCACAAGCTTCATGGACAGATACTTCCCATCGGTTGGCACGCCATCTTTAAGGTCGGGCTTGGGAGCGTCGTTCTTGCCATGCTTATCGATCAGATTCCACATAACCTCATACAGCATAGACGCCCAGATAGTTCCACCTTCGTGGACTTCAGTCACGTTGTTGAGGTGGGCATAGGTCAGGGGGTTTTTGGTCATGGAGGTCGAGTAAGGATAGTCACGAATCCCCTTGGGGTCGTTGGCAGCCCAGGCTCCCATGGTATAGTCGGTCTGGCGCGTATCGCCAGACTTCAGACGCACAGCCGTCGCCATAAAGTCGCCCCAGCCCTCTCCCATACCACCCGACTCCTCGCCGTCCACGCAGCGGGCGTTAGCGGGGCCTCCAGTGAGACGGCTTGAGACTATGAATTGTTAGCCGTATGAGAGTGACGGGCAATGGTGGTGCTAGGACTTACGGCCGTGAGTGTACTCGTGAATAACAATGCCGGCTTCCATAGAGCCGTCACGAGGCGGGTTCGACTCTGTCCAAATGAACATGTACATGCGACCAGGCCGGCCATCCGGTGGAGAACCGAACATGGCGTTGTTGGTGCCGGAGCCGTCCTGGGCGTTGAGGATCACGAAGTCATTCCCTTTTCCACCTGCGCCGTTGTTGTTGGCCTCGAAGTTGCCGGCCTTTTCGTTGAAGCCGAGCGTGTAAAGGAGGTCATGGTAGGTGTTGGCTGTGTAGAACAACTGGGTGATTGAGGCGTCGATATATGATGAGGGACTGGTTGCGTTAGGCGAATAGGGATAAACAAATTTCAACGAAGAGCTCTCGGGGCGGTGATTGTTCAGGTAGTCATCCCCTCCGTCCGGGTTTGACTGAGCAATGCCGTTGTTGCCCCGAGTGGTCTTGTATTTCGCTTTGCCATCGCCGATCCAGGTGAATTCAGAGGCCTTGGAGTCCCATGGATCTTCAAGAATCTGGCGAGAGCCCTCGGTAGGGTCATTGAGGCCCCAAGGACTAGACAGAGTTAGTGCTTGATATCTGCCGAAGATTCAGATTGTTATTCACTTACTACACCTGGTATGTTGCGTCGGAGATGTAGTCGACCACGCCGTGGATGGTCTCGGCGGTCTCTGCATCCACGTATGTGAGCAGCCAGTTGGAGTTCATATCGGTTTCCACTCTCCAGGTCAGGGCAAGGGTATTATCCGGCTTTGCCAGGTAGACCAAATCGGCAGTAGGGTCAGACAGAGCACCCTTGGTTCCCTTGAAGGTATAGGATGTAGTGCCATCAAGACCCTCGGAAGTCACATCGTCCGCAGTGAGGGGGATACCGAGCCCGGTTGCGGCAGCTTTCAGTGCCTCTACAGGATCCGAGAACGACCTCTTCGTAAGCGGATCGGAATCTGGGATCTTGCCGCTGAAGAACGAGTTTCCGTATGACAGCACTTTGCCATTTTTGTCGATCTATAGAGTTAGACCGTGGTACAAGAACGAGAGAGATCGAATGACACACATTCACATTGAAGTTTGCATTGTCAATGTCAATGCCATGAGCAGTTTGAAGTAGGTGCACATGTGCGACCCCGTTGTCTCCAACGTAGTGATCGTCAATGACTCGGAATGTTGCGTCGGGATGGACTGACTGAAGAACTTTCTTTGCTGTTTCGACATAATCCTCGCCATCTGCACGCTCGAACAACAAACTGCGCATAGCTGACGTCCTGGAGCTCGTATACTCTGCATTGCCCGGTAGGCGATAGGGGGTTAAGTCTATGCCGCGTCGAGCGATTCCCCGTGTCCTATGCGTTGGGTGAGCCAGGACGCACAAGGGGAGGGCCATAGCCCCTGCGAGAGAGAGAAGACGCATAACGAATGTATGATATGAGGTGCAAAAGTGAACCAATCAACTGTACCTCCTCGCAATGGGCAATGAGTCTGGGAGGCCTCCTAAGTGCCATTCCTCGTGGTATTTATATCCTTCCACCACCTCAGTAAGAGTGTAGGATCACTCTCTGAATGAAAGCCAAGAAGAACAAAGTGGCTCATATCGCAACGATACCAACACTCCGTGTGATTGACAGGCTGTGTGGATATTGCCCTGCATGTTGCGATCTACGAAGTAATCTCACTGCCGTCCTGCCAATGCAACTCATCGTCCGGGCTTGCCCACCAGCCGACGGACAATGTCTCCCAGATAGGAAGGTCGTCTCAAAGACCCCTGAAGTGATGGAGAGTAGTATGAAGCTAGGGTCAGATCCCCTGTTCATGGAGTCGGTCGCCCTATACTGCCCGTCGGGCTCCGAAGTACCTCAAGGAACCAGCAGCTCGATGGCGGCCGGTCTGCAACATCCGGTTAAGCATGTCTCGGTTTGTCTCCGAGGACAAATATATTCAAAACGAGATCTCATATATAGATTCCCCGTGGTTTAACTGACGGCCTCAGTTCTTCCTCTTTGCTCTCTAGTATGGGTCTCTCGTGGGCTTGGCACATGCTTGGGTTACATGCGAGATAAACAGATCTGTGCCTGCCAAGAAGATCCCGCATGAGCAGATGAATATGTGTCCTGTTGGATGCACAACGTACTGCACTCCACATGTTTAGCGGTGAATTAAGGGACGAATGACTGGTGCGTTGGGCTGATGCGGCATTGTGAGGTTGTACTTCACGGCGCCTTGTCGTGTTTGAGGCTTCAATTGCATTGGTTACGAAGGCATCGGTGCATGGATCAACACTATCATGCTCTTGTCTCATTGGATATAGCCTAGTGTTAGTGTTTCCAATGTTCTGCAGTGATTCTGCTGGCCCAAGCAAGGACTGGCCCTCGCTCATAGGTCAGCATGCTAGTATGCTTGGCTTCAGGCCGTCGATCACCGACGGGTGAAGCTATCGCGTGATTGTCAGCTTTCCTTGGACAATACTCTATGACTCCCCTGAGACGGAGCTGTACCCACGCATATGACAGGATGATCAGAACGGACACGGAGGGAAACAGGCTTGCATAGACCAACCCTTTGGCAGTGCAATCGGGCGTGGTATAATAGCACTGCTGTGTAGATTGCACCAAAATCTTACTAATTCCCCACAACAGGCAACAGGCTTATCTTGTTTGGCCATCAACTGGCCCTAAACATGTCTGTGGGGAGGCGTGGGGAAGTTTTTCGTCATGAGGCTATAGACCATCAAACTGCGCCCTGTTACAAGTCGGAAAGAACTCGATCCTTCCAGAGTTGAACCTAGATCACAGCCTCCCAACGCCCCGTAAGGATAGTCTGCCGATCCTTTGCAAAGGAAGGACGATCTTATCAGCGACATCCAACTCCTTGTAGACAACATTTACTTTTACTGGTCGTTTGACTGCTATTAAAACCCTCACCAACAGACAGAACATGACGGAATGACATTGCTTCTTGGCCGCTCCACGTTTCTAACATATTTTTAGGACACGGTGAACCATATTTACAAAATCATGCGATGATACCATATCATGAGTGCCCAACTCATACGCGAATCCATCGTCCCATCCACTCCTTCACAATCATCTTAGCCTCATCCACCAGCCCCAAATCAAGCAGAAGTTGGGTAGTTCCACGCACGGCAGAATCCAAGGCAGAGAAGATCCAGGCATGGGTGTAGCTGGTATGCTCCCCAATGAATATGGTCTTGAACTCTGTCTGGTAGTACGCAGGCAGGTACAGTTCCTGCTGGCCCACAAGAGGATCAGCCCAGGCACCAGCCTGGTGCTCATCGATCTCCCAGCATTGGCGGTCATAGATGCCCGTGAACTGTTCCTCGGCGATCTGGCCGTGGACCTCAATCATCGCCCGCTGCACGAGCGCGATGTGGTCCTCCGTGCTCAAGGCAGCCGTTGACCGCGCAGCCGTACCACTGACATAGGATGCGAGAATCACACCCGGGCCGGTACCGTTCATGTTAAACGACGGATAGCACACTGACCCAATACCGGGGCTGTCGACCGATCCGCAGCCACCGAAAATCGGGTTCTCCTGGTGTTCCCAGAAACGCGTCTCGTACATCAAAGCCATCTTGCAGGACTGATCATAGTTCAGGGTATCGATGGCGCGGCTGAGAAGCGACGAATACCGCGGCATGTCCCATAACCGGACCTTGCTGAAGGGCGTGGCGACAACGGCGTAATCGTACTCCTTGCTCTCGGGAACAAGCTGCATCGGATCATCGCGCCAGTTCACTGCAATCTTTCCACTGTCTTCGTTGTAGGACAGTCCTGAGACCTTGCGTCCCAGCGTCGTCTTGTCAGAAACGTGGGGCCAGAAAGCACGGGGCAGTGACTCCAGACCCTTGTCGATTGTGCGCCATTTCGTTGCTGAGAAGTACACGCCGTCGTAGATAGAGCCCCAGATGGGGGTGTTGTCGGATCCGGCAACATAATCGGTGATGTTGGCGTTGTATCCCAGGGCATACCGTAGGTATCCGGCCTCGGACCAGTGGAAAAGACCGTCCTCAACCGCAGCCTTGTGAGCGCGGTACATGTTTGTGGCGACCTTCTTCATTTGATCCTCGTCGTCCACCTTGCTGTAGTTTTCAAAGGCCTCCTCGGCGTCTGCCACGGCCGTCGCGTTGGAAGAGGGAGCCTCATACGTCAGAGACGGATCGGCTTCTACCTGAGCGACAGTCGGGACACGGCCATCGGCAAGCCTCTTCCCACCGGTCGACGTGGGAACATTGGGGCTGTTCTGGATGAACTCGATAAAGTTGACTTGCAGATCTGGCCGATCGGGGTTCATCTTGTTGAGGGTGTCCGCCAGCTGGAACACCATCCGGTGGTCCTGGATTTGGAGTGTCTCGTTCTTTTCGGCGTATGTGATGCTGACGGGGAACCGCATGGGTCCCATCTCCTGGTATTGGTACTGATCTGGGCGCGAGTTGTTCAAGTATTTCGTACGAATACGACCTCCGATCCGCTCGGAGGACTCGTAAATGTGCCAGTTGTGCATCCCCACTGACTCGAGCAGCAAACTCGTCATCAAGCCTGACATCCCACCGCCAACGATAGCGACGGATGACTTCTTGGCCTTTGCAACCACAGCCTTGCCCGGCTCTTTGGCCTTCATGTATGCCACGCCATCGAACCAGGGGCCCATGGCATCAGCGACGTCGGCGATTGCCTCCCGTCGGGTGATGGGGGCAGCCACATTCACCGGTTCAGACCTGCCCACCAGAGAGGAACCAGAGAATGCGTGGAGGCAATGGGAGTGAGGAGCATCATGCGGAGTTATCCACACAAACCGTTCAGGGTAGGCCTCACGTTTCACGAAAATGCTGCCGATTTCATGATGGCTCTCTGCCGTACTGGCAAGCCCGCAGTCTCCATATACGAACTGTAACTCACCCTCCCAGGTGTCGTCAAGGAACTCAACACGGACATTGTGCAATGAGTCGGCAACAACTTCGGTAGGGACGCGAAATCGAACGACTTCTCGTCCTCTTGGGAGTACTCTGGCCTGTCCAACGCCGCATAGAGCTAAAGCCAGGAGGATATGGCGAGTATAACTCCGCATGGTTGACACGATAATAGAGAGTAAGTAGGATTGCACTGGTGATATCGAATATTAAACCTGCTGAAGTCTGCCATGATTTGACTTTTATATAGCTTGTTCAAGGAAATTATCCATATCTTTCTTCTACGCCTCGTGCGTCACTCAATGTACTCCAGACAATCGATGGGCTCTCTTCTGCCCGATAAGCCGAGCTCGCATTTACGTAAATCGCAACTTGCTAACAGTCTATGCCACAAAGTCTGAAGCCCCAGTATGGCAGGAAGATGTACACGGCTCGGAGATTGCACTCCAGCGAGGTGAGATATGGCGAATGGATACTCAGTAGTGGTCGAGTGCCATGTATCAACATCCTTATCTCCTTCGGCCGTCTTATCAAGAAGATAGAAAATACATGTTAGCGCAGGAAAAAGGGCGTATACGATCAAATCCTCGCAATTGACCTTCCCGTTATAGTACCCCCCGAAAACCCGAAGATCCGGGGAACCAGTGACAACTGGGCGTCTTCGCGTGGAATATCCTGCTTTGGGCAAAGATTGGCAAGGGCGGGTTAGCCCGAATGCTCTTATCTACCAGCGAAGTCTTAAGCATTGCCGACGTCTTGGCAGGTATGCGCTGGGCATGTAGCGGGGGAAGTTATACCTCGTCTTGTGCATGGGGCACTTGTCAAAGGGCGTGGAGCTGTCGTCAGCTTATCTTTGACACGTCGCTTGCAGGTATATTGCATGGATTAGCTACTATATCGGTCCTTGAGATTCTGATGTTGACCGACCAAGCCGTATTCACTTAGTGTCTTTATTTGCGGGTTTAGTCATATCAGGAGGACCCTCATCCAGTGCGAAAGCAATTTGAAGGTGATCATAAGGTCTGATAAGACAAATCTGCTTTACTCCTAGTGAATTCTATGCAATACTCCCGTGTGGCTGTGTACATCTGTTCTTCTCTTAGCATGACCTCCGCACTACGCCCACAGGCAACAGATGTGGTGTCAGGAACAAGAACCCCGCTTATTAGAGGGGGAATCATTGGCATATGTTTGAAAATACATTCGATGAGCGAGGTCCTCATGCTGCCTTTGACGTGGTTATCTGCGGATTTGGATGTCTGGACAATAAATATATCTCTATGCTTGGCATTCAATCAAACAATTCTTGATACTGTGGTAGTAGTAGTACCCATGAACCGAACTAACTGGCGTAATTCTATAATACTTGAAAAGTCCCTTTATGGTCCGATCAAAATGTAATCCGATGCGGGACCGGTGGCAGTCCGCATATTGAGTGAAGATCCCGGTTCTACCGACAGACAGCCGGAAATCCCGATCTGCATCGAGAATGCAAAACAACATTCTTTACGCATTTTTCGTCAACGAGTGGGTTTACAAATACCTCTAACGTATCTCGATTCTCGATCATGAGTAACCATCTCAAGATCATCTCTGAACTTCGCCATATGACGATGTGGCGATGCTGTGAGCGAATTACCTGCTAAGCCCATGACTTATGCTTGGAATCTACATAATCTAGAACGGCGCTCCCATATAGAACTGCCACAACCAGCACAACAGCAACGCATTGATCGATTACCAATTCCAAGACTGGAGGCTGAAAGACAGCTGACAAATTCGCATCCACTGGCCTCATCATTGGTCCCTTGTGTTGCGGGCTCGTATTCAGCCAGAATGATGCTGCCTTAGCTTGGACGCCGCCAGCGAGCTCCAGGCCATCCCACTTCATGTCTTGCCTTCATTCTGCTGCTTTAGAAGCATCACCTATTCTTTGTCCGACTCAAAAGACCGTGCACCCATATCAAGATCGACATAATAAGTTTCGGAGGCCATGGAGTGGATGGCGCATCGAACCGACCATCTCCTACCGTCATCAGAGCACCATACAAAATTCGGCATGGCGCATGTCACAGTTGATTTAAACAATGAACCCCGCCATAACCGCTCAAAAAGACCACATACCAAATCTCGTCGTGGCTGTTTCAACTGCAAAGCTCGGAAAGTGAAGGTAACCAGTTGTATGGAGCAAGGTTGCCGCTGAAGACATGCTGAACAAGTGCAAAGTGCCAGGAAACCAAGCCATCCTGTGCAAACTGCATCACCAGAGACATGGATTGCGTATACCCTTCAAAAAGCAAACTAAAACCAGCAGCGCTATCGACCCATGACCGAAATAGCCTCACATCTACACGGCAACTATCCGATCGCCCATTCACTGGCGATGACCTGCGATTTTTCCACCACTTTCTGCTTGTTGCAAGACCATATCTGCCGTTTGGAAGTGAGGACTCGTGGACGACAGTGGTACCGGCATATGCGCATGAGGTGAGTTGGGGGATAAACTCATAATGGTTGAAAATTCTTATGTCTTTAGTGTCCACACCTGATGCATGCGATTCTCTCCCTCGGCGCCACGCACTATGCTTTGACAACCCCGGCCGGCTCTCAATACACTCCAATGGCCATTGCGCATCGCGGAAAAGCCCTCCAACTACTAGCCACGACGCTCGCCAAGGGCGACCGATGCACGGAGTCCGACCTGGATGGCGTGCTAGCCACATGCTACACTCTCGTGTTCCAAGCTTATTACATGAACGACGGTCTGGTAGATTTTGCCGTCTTCGTACGCGGCTGTGGGACCATCACAACCCAGCTACGAGCGCGGTTCAAGCGCAGCAGAATGTTCCTCATCCAGACGCAAGAGCAGGTTAGCGCTATGGTTTCACCGTGGCTCCCGAATGATCCATACCCAGACAGCGCGTTTATTGCATCCTGCATTGAGGATATCGATCAGCTGCGCTCGTTTCTTCGGAGCGATGGGGACCGTGCGTTCTTCCGGGTTCTGCGCAGCACGTACGCGGCGCTACATCGCTCCATGGCAGAGACATTTTTTCAGTTAACAGAGGTCTACGCGGTCTGGTATACGATGGAGAACCAGGAGTTTATGAAGTTTGTTGCCAGCGCAAACCATATTTCGCGGGCGTTGTTTATACATCACTTCACGATTGATACGCTTATGCGACCGTTTATGCTTGCGATAGGAGGACGACATCGCCCGGGTGTACATATCAATGCTACCGTTGCCGACAACTGGGTGTCGGCGATATACGGTGGTTTACCGTCGTCGATGAAAGGCTTGGTATGTCGCCAGGTGGACCGGATTCGGAAAGAGAAAGAGAGGGTGCGCACGAATCTTGAAAGCGGCAGCATTATAGGATGAATGCCTGGATAGAGATTGAGGATTGCAATTCGGACATGGCTGTGGATTGCAAGAATAAGTGAACTGTCAACACTCTTTCTATATGAGGTTCTATGGTGACGGGTTGCGTGAGGCATAACCAGAAATAGTCATCTTGACATAGTAAGGGAGGAACTCGCTTCAAAGCACCAATTGCACAAAGAGAAGAAAGCAAGAAATCCTGAACAATCACAACCAATCTCCATACGTGGTTCTCCACGATACTACCTTGCCACTCGTGTATCCTCCCACTCAACAAGCAGATCTTGATCCACCAATCCTTCGCGCAGTGTCGGCCGCATAGAGAAATCGCGCTGGGTGGTACCATCCAAGGAGGCTTATAGCGATAAGCATCGGGACAGCCTCGAGGACATATAGCGGCCATTCATGGGTGAATATGTAGGCGTCAATGCCGAGGGCAAACTCGATCACTCGATACACACAGCGGACCTATTCAGTCGACGGATTTAGCAAGTTGTGAAGTAAGATTAGCGACAATGGAACTCACCAGTATGAAGAAACCGGATATATAGATCCCGGTAAGCAGTGTCTGGACCCCAGCGTCCATCAGCTTACCTCCACGGGTCGACTTCAGATGAAAAGATCCAACGATAAGCAGGAACACAGTAAATGTAACGACTTGCAGGACTAGACCCCCGATCAGAACCCCAGTTCCGGTGTCTTTCTCTGAGCCCTCCCAGTCTCCTGCAGAAGCAATCCCGCTGCCAGAGGCTTGGGTAAGACAGCTGATGATATCTAACGCAACAAAGATCCGAGGAAGCCATTTTCGTCGGATCCCGACAAATAGAAAACGCAATGGCTTCTCGGAACCCTGATCGTTTGCATCGGACCAGATCAATCGATCCATCAGAAGATAGAGACTGGCACAGACAAATATCGGGGCAATAACGATCAATGTAGCACTGACAGCGTACAGGGCAACATCCGCCGGCTTCTTCACGCTGGCGCAGCGGATTCCGTATCCAGCCACTTCGAGCAGGGCACCGATCAACAATGGGATGAAGTGCCCTACGCGGCGGACCTTGCCTAGCCATGGTGCAATGACAGTCATATACAGGTGATATAGAAACGGGAAGAAGTAGAAAACTGTGAATAGGATGGAGGCTGGAAGTGAAGGGCTGTAGAAATAGATGCTGTCGGGGGATGACATGTTGAGGAATGAGGGCGTTTCTCTTGGGTGATTGAACAGGAGGGTATGACACTTTGATGGTCAATGTGACACTTAACTGAAAATTGCGAACCCTTGTCCGAGACGCAATTGTGATGCTCTCTTTAGTGACATGGTGATGGTAGAGGACTGATTTATATGCCTGGGTCAGTACTCTACAATGAAGGGTAATTCTGAAGCCTGGGCGGGTGGTGCTGATTCTACTATACCAAAAGGAACATATCGTATTCGCACTCGGACAATTGCACGCCACCCTGGCAGTGTACAGTGCGTTTACAGGGGGATGTACCAAAGAGGAAGGTGAAGTTTATACGAGGCGGAATAGCCGATCCACCACGGAATAGATGGGTAGCCAATCGGCTGCATGGAGAACATTAAGGTTGATGTCAATGCGAAAATGCGAGAAACGGTAAGTTTCAAGTGTGGCTGCCTAATAGCATGAACTATACGGCTTGTCAACATAAGCTCTTTGTTATTCCATGTATAGAGTCATGAAAGATTTGTCTCTAGTTGAGCTATTGTTGTGCGAATCTACTTTTACTGACTGACTCTGCATGCGAGGCGTCTGGCAAACAGCAAGCATCCTGCCTCCCAACGAAGCCTTACGAGAGCTCCTGAGACCGCTTTTCGTCTTATCGATATTGACATACCAGCCAAGTCTCAATGTATTTGAAGACGCTTGCGGTTCTTAGCCCAGGTCATATGCATGTCACGTACCGACGAGACAAATAAACTGCCTTTTATTCTCTACAGTATCTTTAAATAGGTACTTCCCATGACTCTGGTGCTACCGTTTAATGAACAATATAACGCGCAATTTGGCTCGTTAGAATCGATTTATTACGACATATCCGAAGATAACAGTCCATCTGAACAAGTTAATCCACATATACAACCCGCTAAGTTGCCTCTCTATACGACATCATTGAAGGAAACAGCCAACCTAATCATCCGCCTCATGTAGCTTCACAGTCACCAGGTCTGCTGGCGCGCATGTCAGTGCCACGCCGTACCGAATTTCCTGGTCAGCGTGCACATCCACAATGGAGTCGAAACGTTGAAGCAGCCGCACCAATACATAACTAGTCTTGATGAGGGCGAATTGTTGACCGATGCATGTCCTGGGCCCTCCATTGAACGGGATGTACTCCCAGGTCACCTTCCGCCCAATCCACCGATCGGGATTGAACGCCTCAGCATCATCGCCCCAGATGTCCTTTCGACGTTGCAGGACATAGCTGCCGTAAAGGACCTGCTGACCTTTTGGGATATAAATAGGCGACGAGCCGTCTTTCCCACCACCAGACGGGAGGGTCGTATCCCTTAATGCACATCGACGGTTGAACGGGACGACCGGGTAGAGACGCAGTGTCTCGTTGATAAAGTGCTGGAGATACTGGCACGATTTCAAAGAAGCGAAGGTTATTCCCCGTGGCGTCTTGTAGGTGCCGAACTGTTCGACGATGTCTTTCCGGAGTCTGGAAAAGATGTCGGGCCGGCGAGCGAGGATGAGCACAGCCCAGCTCAACAGCGACGCGGTCGTATCACGTCCTGCGAGAAGAACATTGAGGGATTCGTAGCGAAGCTGTAGTGGGTCTTTGCTCGACGCCGCGAGCGCTTCCAGAAAGACATACTGTGATGTGGATTGGCTGCTATCAGGGAGCTTTGTGTCGCCCGCCTGTCTCTCCAGCACGGCATTTACATACTTGTCCACGAAGGCGTGCACCATCCGGATACTTTCGCGGAACTCTCTATTGTCGACGAGCCAGTAGAATCTGTCGAAGCGAAGTCGTTCCGACAGATACCACACCGAACGGTCAAATCCGTACAGAAAGCTATCAGACCCGCGGCCGACGTCGGTCCTCACAGCAGCCAACTGACTGTCGCAGCTCTTCCCGAACAGAAACTCCGTCGCCGAGTCCAGGGTGAGCCGAAAGAAAATCGTTTGGATATCCACTGCGCGAGTCCAACCGTTCGACAAGACTGGCAGTGCGCGCATCGCATTTTGAACATGACGTTCTTCCATATCGAGATTACTCACTTGGGCCCGTGTGAACTGAGGTCGGAGGAGTGATCTCGAGTGCGACCATGCCTCACCGTCTGTGGTGAACTACGAAGTGTCAGTTACCAAAGCGTAAACACGCTGATGGATGGGGAGTACTGACAATGCCACGGCCAACAAGCGGGCCCCCAACGTTCCGCCGTCCATCCCCCAACCCAAAGTCCTTAAATTGGGTGGCCAACATGGCCTGTATGTTTTTAGGATCCGCGGTGAACAAGCTTTCTTTCCCTGGTTGTCGGACTCGAAAGGTGGAGATGTATCTGCCATGTCTCTGCGACAGTAGGTCGATACGTCGTTCGGCTAGTTCAGGAAGAACTTTTGCTCGATCCGCACGCAGTGTTTCCAGGAGGTTGGAAAAACCAAAGGGGTCCTTGCTAGGGTATAAGGGGGCTTCTTCGCACCCTAGTCTGCGGGCATTACGAGCTTTTCTCCATGACAGGGCGAAGGAGATCACCAGTCGCACTGCAATACCCGCAAGGACCAGTGCCGGAACGAACAACAAGGTATGCATCATGAACTCCAAGAAGCTTTGATACAGTTTTAACAAGCAAGCAAAGTGTGTAGTCCATGAAACTTATGGCTCAAGAAGAACGATGAGACCCTTTGGGGCACGCTCCGGCAAGATATATGACTGTCCGTCCCTCTTTTTCATGATATATGTTCTATTTTAAGGGGCTGCGTCATGCTGAGTGTTTTACACTTGTGACTGAGTGTTTCTAGCATGCTCATCTGAGTAGATTCACATGTTGTGTCATAGTTCGAGGGCTATGCATGCTTGACTAGGGGTCTGATGGGGCGAAGTTGTGTATAGATGCACTTCCACTTTGGAATACTGGGCCAAATTATGTTTCCGCCCAATACAAGGTAGAGACAGTGTGACATTCACTTGAAAGATGCGTTCTATATTTGGCAAAATCAAAGCCACCATCGTGGGATCCTGCAGGTCGTCATGGATCGCCTAACATTCCTTCCAATCATACGCCGACACCTTGTTCCACCGCCCCCAGCAGTATCTTCTGCACGGTTACTGCCCGATTCGATATCCAGACTACTCTTCATCTACTATAACTGGGTATGATTCGGAAGACGGTGTTGTCAGCGGACCTGTCTGACATGATCATCAGAAATGTCATACAATCCAACAATCCAACAGGAAAAGGTCAACATAACTCGCTGGCTGACTCGCCAATTTTCTAAAGATAAACCCCCATGTCTGCAAGTAATTGAGATGTAGGGTCACAGCGTTACTGAGCCCATGAGGGCACTCCACACGCCACCACCGATAGCATTTTGATACAGCCTGTTTTTGGTATCACAAAATGGGATGATGGCAGATGGCCCCCAAGTCAGCTCTGTATTGAGTTCGGATTGCAACGGACGAGGCGAAGCATGCTGGAGGATATCGGAGCCTTATTCCCAAACTAAATATACACTTGACCCCCAGAACGGCTGACTATCCACTGTTTTGTGCCTGACCTGTCCTGGGCATCCTATTCCACTCCTCTTTAGCAACTATGAAACACTTGGATGAGGTTAATCGAGGAAAAATGTCCTCCAGCAAAGACGAGTACGCTCCCTCAACAGTTAGCCGTCGGGGTGACATCCCAGACTGGAAATGGAAAGGGAGCCTTGCTGCAATTTTCTTGACAACTATCATTAATGGTTGGTTCACCATCCAACACAAAATCATCACAATACTGACGAAGGGAACTTGGTCAGGATACGATGTGAGCAATGTTGCTAATATCCAGCCGCGTCTCTATGAGGCCTTCGGCAACATCACCCTCCTGCCGTGGATAAGCCTTTCCTTCAGTCTCGCCAATTTTGCGGCGCTCTCTTTCTCTCGAAAAATCCTGTATTGTTTCGAAATGCGATGGGTCTATCTCGCCAGCATAGTTGTCTTCATGGCGGGCGCTGCGGTTGCAGGAGCAGCACAGAACATGGATTCTGTCATTGTTGGACGCATCATTATGGGTGTTGGTGGAGCAGTCGTTTACCAAAGGTTCGTTGAACGCCTGGTCCGATATTCATATCTCGATCATCCGTTAACCAGAAATAGCAATCTGACCTTTGTCGCTGTCTTCGCTACTCCCACGGAGACCCCTCGACTCTTCGGCGTACTGGGTGCGCTGTGGGCAGTAGGCCTTGTGATAGGAGGGCCTATAGGATCCGCTTTCGCTGCCAATGATCATGCAACATGGCGCTGGGCACTGTACTTGAACCTCCCTTGTGCTGGCTTAGGTCTGCTTGTCGCATTGGTCTGTTTCCCTCGCAAATACTTAGGGCCTGACGTCCCGGTGACCGCGCGCATCGCAGCGGTGGACCCGATTGGGATTGTGCTCAACATGGGCGCTCCAACTCTGCTGGCTCTTGCGCTAGAATTCTCCGGCTCGGTATGGGCTTGGAGGTCAGGAGCGTCCATTGCATGCTGGGTCGTGTTTGGCGTCGTTCTGGTCGCATGGGGCGTCCAACAATATTGGTGTATTGGCACAAGTCCCGATCAACGCGCTATTCCCGTCCATCTACTCACCCGCGTCGATCTCCTGCCCCTGTGGATTGCATCGGGATGCGCAGGTGCGTCCTATGCCGTGACATTGTATTATCTGCCGTTGTTCTTTGCCTTTGCCCGAGGATACAGCGCCCTCGAGCAGACTGTTCGTCTTCTCCCGTTCATTTTGGTGTTCATCGCTGTGGTGATGTTGGTTGGCGGACTGCTGCCCATTTTTGGCCGGTACAACATTATATACATTGTGGCGGGCATCGCGACCGTTGCGGGGGCTGGTGTCATGGCAGCAACATTGAGTCCTAGTGTGTCTGAAGCTCAAGTGTTGGGGTTGGAGGCTCTTATCGGTGTCGGCCTTGGGTGTTCGTTCCAGCATGGTGTCGGAATCTCGAATGTCATCAATAAAGAGCCACGGGATCGAGTGGACAGTGCCGTTATATTCAACATGGCGCAGATGGGCGGCATTGCCATTGTCTTGGCCGTGGCAGGGTCCATCTTCCAGAACGTTGGCTACAACATGCTGGTGGATGCTGTTGGGACCGGTGAATACTCTCAAAGGGACTTGCGCGAAGCGCTCGCAGGTGTTTCGTCCGTGGTGTGGCGGTCGAGTGATCCGGAGATTGTGTCACGCGGAGTTGAGGCAGTTGCTGAGGTGATTGCACGCGAGTTTTATCTGGTCGTGGGAGGTGGTGCAGTCTGCCTTGTCTGTGGGTTGCTAATGAAGCGGCAGAGACTGGAATATGGTAGACAGAAGGATGCAGAGAACAAAGGTTGATGTTTTGGTCTGCGATTTATCCATGGATGGTTTTTGCAACCATTGTTGGTGTGACGCAAGCAATTCAAGTAGAAAGACGAAAATGATGAAGATGATGTCTATCTCTTGAAGAAGTTATCAATTCTTCGTTGCCTCTTGTCGTATGTGCCACTCCCTATACCCCCTTGTACGCGACGTAATTGAGCCAAGTGAACTCTACTGTTGATAGCTCTGATTTCAAGAAACCATCCTGAAAGCGGACGTGATGTATCTTCAGAGATGGTGTTAGATTGTGGAGGTACTCCATACGATACGTCGCGTGGAATGACAGGCGGTGGCAAGGAAGTGGCTGGATTTTGTATGCAAACTTCGAGAAAGCCAGTATTCACCCATGTTGGGCTAATGAATCGGGCGTCAGCGTCGTGGGAACTGGCTCCTGGCACTAAACGGATCAGATGTTGATGAAATAAGGCTGTGATACATTTCCACAGGAATTGCAATGTGATTCCGTGCGAAACCACGGCCACCACATGGTTATCCCTGTTTTCGTCAAACACTAACGGGAGAAGGTGATCGTTGATGAAAGTATTTGACCGCAACATGATAGACTGGTCCGTTTCAGGCATGGTCTGCACAGCCTGGGCCTGGTAAGAAGCAGACCATTTCTGCCCCTCGAAAGACCCGAAATCTCGCTCTCTGATCAGCGGGCTCGAGATTGGTACCAGTGCAGTGGGATTTGGTTGGTGACGGCGGATCCCCTCCGCGGTAAGAGCGGCTCTTGAAAGATCAGAGGCGAAAATGTGCGTGAAGCATACTCCTTCTGACTTGAAATGTTGGCCTAGTCGGTCAATTTGGGAAGCCCCATGGTTGGTGAGGGGCGAATCAGTGGTTCCAGCTCTGTTCCTCGGTTAGATCTCGCCGTCAACGCATCAAAGGGTGGTAGAAGTACAATATACGGGCCACATTGTCGACGGTTTCTGCGTGTCGGATGAGAAAGAGCCTCATTTGGGAAAGCAGTATGGGTGTTAAAGTGTGTCTGGATGGAATGAGATGGTGGAGATAGAGCCACGTTCATTCCGAGTGGGGAAAACACCGGGTGAGTCATCATGGTTGATCCAAGCCATAAGCAAATCTATATTTATTTATCTTTTTCACGTAGGCACACTTGCTTTGCTTCATCTGCTCGAAACTGCGCTATTGGGTCAGCAAAACAAAGATGTGCTCTGGAAAAATGCTCATCACCACGCAGCCACTTGTACAGCATATGGAAAAGGTGGCCGCTCTCCACCTGCGCCGCCAGATCGAAGCTTGTCGATGCCTACGTCCCCATGAAGAGTTCATTGACTCCTTAGCAGGCGGAGGAGTTGCCGCTATCACGAAAGCCGACTACACTCGCAAGCTCAATCACACAACAGGTTTTGGCATGGATGGCCCGGTGACAAGCATCGATCTGGCTTTGATTCAAAGCATATCAACACGCAAGGGAGTGACACCAGAAATTGACTTGTGTTCACTTGCACACCCTACGGCTCTTCAGGTCCTTACATCCAGTTGCTGGACTGTAAATGGCTTTCTCAACGCGTATGCATATGCATTACATGATCTTGATTATTCGGCTAGTGGCGTTACATCCGACATACAGATTCACAAAGCGCAAGAGGATCAGATGGAAGACTTCGTTCGATCCTCTGTGCAGGGCTTTAAAGATGGAGGTCGGCCTCTAGATCTCCTGTGTCTTCTCGCGGAAAGTGCAGCCAACCGGAAGGACACAACCATATATCTAGCCACTCAGAACGGTGTTATTATAGGGTCGGGTGGAATGGCTGTCATCGACACGGATATCGGACCCATCGCACATCTTCACATTGACAGCACCTTACCAAGCTGGCGTGGAAGGGGAGTGCATGCGGCGTTGATCCATGCTCGCATACAGGATGCAAGAGAATGCGGCTGTGTTTTGGCAACACTGGAAACTCGCCCTGGCTCTGGTAGTAGCCGAAATGCTGAGAGAATGGGATTCAAGCTGGCCTACACGAAATCTACGTTTACTCCATCCAACCGGGAATGAACCGAGACGTGTCTGTCTTAGATATGCTTCATACTCCATATAATATATATCGCATCACGACGTCTACATAACCCCTTGTTTTCTCTTCCTTTTCATCTCCCATCTAGAAACATAAGCTTCACATTACAATGCTCATCTCCATGGAAATATATTTCAGACTTGTGTCGTGAATGCTTGCCTTGATATCGCCTGTGGTAGGACGGAAAGCGGTAAATCCGAGGCCGACTTATTTTTGGGATTTTCTATCCGTCGCGACATAAACAATACCTAGGCATCAACAGTCTTCTGCGACAGAAATTTCATCCAACCGCCATGGATCTCTCTCCCATTATAGATCGCCTGTCACCATCTCCTCAGATGTTTCCCGATTGCTGTCTAGCGATATCACGCACATTGATTACATATCTAGCCTCCATTCTGCCGCAGAAACCCGGATTCACCATCTCCATCGGCAGTGGGTCCGGCCTCCTGGAAGCGCTCATCGCACACTGTCATCCCACCATCCGCGTCGAGGGGGTGGAAGTGAATTCTTCAGTCAACCGCTATCTACCTGAAGAGGACATGCATGTTGTCGGCGGGACGTGGGGGCTCCATTCACGCGTCCCCCAGGCCCGAGCTTGGATGTTTGTCTATCCTCGCGAACCAAAGCTCGTCACCAAGTACCTAGACGCATACAGTGATAAAGCAGAGGTAATTGTGTGGCTGGGCCCTCGGGTTGACTGGGCTGATTACGAGCCGTGTTTTCGCGAGTCTGCCTTCTCAGAGGTTAGCCTTCCCGCCGAAGTTGGAGTAGCGCCGTACGAGATGTTGGTGGTGCTGCAGAGGAAATCCTGACACTATGAACGACGTCCCATGATCATCCTGCCTTCTATCGCTCCTCTATTATGGGAATCATACCGGCCTGTCGGTTAGGCTACAGGATTTGTCCCGATGGTTGCCATGTTGAACTAGGACTCGTGTCCTCAAGCTCATCTTCCCACCTACAAGCGAGTCACCCCACAAAACTTTGTCTGCTCAAATCGCATACAACAGCACAGTCCAGCCTCAAAAGGACAGGTTGCGGGATACAGAAAGAAGCTGGCTTTCCAGGCTGCCGGATTTGCTCCCCACGACTAAAATCTCGAGGCAGCCCGACCAGTGACTCAACATCACACCGTTATCCTGTCCTGCACAAGTTTCCCATTGATCGATATTGTTCCTAACCATGGCGGAATTAATGTCCTCAGCCGGGGCCTATATGCGCGGACTATGGAAAAAGGAGACTCCGCATGTTCGAATCTGCCTTTTCGGCCACGGCGGAGCTGGAAAGACCACCCTCCTATACCGGCTGCTTCAGGGTAGGCAGGTCATCACGATTCCGACAATCGGGTTCAATTGTGAATAACACCTTTCCATATCTACCTCAAACCAAGGTCTGCTAACGACCTACCAGCAGAGAACCTTCATCTCCCGTCTGAAAGGTTCGACTTTGAGATCTGGGATCTCGGAGGAGGGTGTTCGTTCCTTCCGATAGGGGTGTTTCAGCATCTAGTTAATCCGGAAGTGATTTGCTTGTTCCTCATCGACTCATCGGATCCTTACGATTACGTCAAGTATGAGCTCGACGACGTTCTGGGTAAAATCGACGAGGCGAAGCACTTTGCGGTCGTATTCAATCACAAAAGTCAAAAAGACCAGGCGGATGCTGCGGCATTGAAACAGGCGGTAAACGACAGAATCCAGTCGTGGAGAGGGGCACGACGGTGCGGATCGACATACGAAGTTTACGATGACCTTGACAGATTCAATGCCGCAACTGGTGAGCAGGTCGATGTTCTACTGCAACGCATGATCCACGTTGCAAAGACAAATTTGCGGGACGAACCGGTCACCAAGTCTGTACTGCCAAAGGCGGAGATCCCCAAGCCATCGAGGGAAGAACTTTTGCAGAGGATTGAGCTGCGGTCCAAAGAATCAGTGCATCGGCTGCCTCCTGATCAATTCATTACGCAAATGAAAGCTGGCACGCTATCAACTTGGGATCATATGTGCCATTTACGTGCTGGATTTCTTTGCATAATGGAATGCATTATGGAAGAAGACGTTGTTTTTGCCGCAGCGGAGCTGTTCCTGCAGCGCCTGGATCTCATGTTGCGTGCCAGCCCAGGCAAATTCCGCAACACATTCCATCGGTAAGTAGCGCCCGTGGAAACGAGATCCAGCCCAGCCTGACAGTGCTTAGAACTCTCACGATATTCTGGATGCATCAAATCCATCTTCAGATGCTTTTAGCCCGACAAAAGACTGGAGTCCTGCCATCCTATGACAAGTTTATCGGATTTTTGCGGCAATGCCCTGAGCTCATGGACGGCCGGGCGTGGGATCAATACTGGTCCAAGGATGTCCTCTTCGGCTCCGAGGCAAGAGAAGCCTGGGTATTACCCGATCTAAAACCACTGCCCCGGTATACGCCATCCGCTCAGGCAAACAAACCGAAGAACATCCAGTCCCCTCAAAGTAACGCCCAAATTTATCAACGTTTCGCATACGGCATTGTGAAAGCTGTCAAGTCCACCGACCAACGGCGCGCCGCGATTATTAATGACACCCTACCCATCATACAGTCATATCTGATCCAATTGCGTTCCAAATCCCAGTCCACCGAAAAGATCGATTCCTACTCTCTGACCCAAGCGTACTTCTGGATTCAAATGACCCACGCCGCAGTGGCATCTATCCCGCCCGGTAAATCAATGGACATCAGCAAGCTCAGCTTCGAGACCTTTGGAATTCTCTTTCCAGAGCTGGTCGGTGCGGAGGACCTCTGGAAAGATTACTACACACCAGAACAATGGAATTCTGTGGAAGCGAGAATGAGAACAGTGCTTCCGCGCAAAAAACCCCTCCCTAACTTTTTCCAACCACCCTCCCAAACCCAGGTGGAGAAAGCTATTGCGTCGCGCCTGGACGAAAAGTATGTAGTCCATGACGGAGATACGTCGTCTGGTCTGGATGGCCGCCCGAGTTCCGAGGAGTTGTTTCTCAGGGTTCGATGGGCTGTCAAGTCAACGATGTCCATGAATGAGAAGCGGGATGACTATGATGGCTCAGCGGATAGCCACGCAGCACTTTTGCGTCGGTTATTCTGTCGGCTGATCATGACGGATCCTGACGGTACCAGTGGAACACTCGTCTCCCAGGTTGTATGGGAAGAAATGTCGTTTCTTCATGGCAGAGGCCAGTATACGTGCGCGGCCTTTTGGGCTCGGATGATCGTGGCCGCATTTGCTAGAATGGACGCAGCGTTCAAGAGCCAAGTGGAAGAATACCGCGGCTTGGTGGAAGAGGCCGAGGTGGAAGCAGCAGAGACACTGTTGTTTTCCCAGTTTCTTTCTGCTAGCATGGAACTCTGCTGGGAACGTTTGTGGGCCACGTATTACTCGGACGAGGTGTGGAAGAGCAAAGGCGCGGCGGATGGATATGTCGTTCCTGATAAGAAACCGCTTCCAGCGTACATTGAGGAAAGATTGAATTGATCTCGATGAGCTAGATCAAATGGCGTTTATAATGATGAGGTGGCTATCTTTCGCCGTCCTAATCTTTCGCCGTCCTACTACATAGTCAGAAATCTGAAACACATTGAGGATTGAGCACCGGACACCTACGGCTACATCAACCACCATTCGGATACAGCTAGAATACCCCAGCAAGGCCTCCGAAAGCCAACAAAAGCTTTTGTTGGCCGACAACTAGATACAATTGGTCTGCACCAGCAGCCCCTAGAGCAGAAGCGCGTCTCAAACACGGGCTGTGCTCATGGGGCCATCTTGGCACTGCCAGTCTGCTTAACAAGGCACCCACATTTCGCTACTTATCTGCCTTGTTACGAGCTTTCCTCCTGCTCATTCCATCAGGTCGACTCACTCGCATCATGTCAATTTGGTTCCCTACAGAGTTCGGGGAGGACTATCGGACGAAGACCCTCTGGCTCAGGGCTGCGGCCATCATTTCCACCAGCATCGGTAACGTGCTTCTCGTGACACGCCATGCGCACCCATACTCACTCCTGGTAGGAGCTTTACGGCGCGTTGAGTCTGGCAAGCTGACATATGTCTAGTTCGCCCTTCCCGTGATCTGGTCAACGGTGGATGGAATCTGCTATCGCAGACGGGCCCCAGTCCACGCGTTAGCCAGCGTCGTGCTTGACTTCCTGTCAGCGACGTTTCTCGCCTGGAATATCCCCCTTACGCTGTTTGCCGGGCTCGTGTACTGGAGTTTTGTGACGATAGTGATGGCCTTTTTCTATCTGGTTTCGGTGTAGGTTCTTCGCGCCCTGGGTATTGCCATGCCAGCCGATGGTACTGATTCGGATGATACAGATTCCTCCATGTAACTCTGCTCGTTCGCGCAGGAGCTAGACTCTGGGAGGCGGGATTATCTGGAAGAGGCGGTGGCATTGAGCTGCCGAAATAGAGTTGACCTCATACCAATATGCGGTCGGGAGTCCTGGCTTGTGTATACGAATTGGGGAGGACAGCTTGGGATTTTCGTATACCTGGTTCACTATCCTATCTTCATGTCGTCTATACTGGCTATCGACAAGTATGTGTTTAAAGCGGCAATCAGAAGACGGAAACGTAAATATGACGTGGTTCGGTGACTACCTCACGGATTGCAAACCGTACTTGTACCACCAAAAGGACAGGAGAAGACACAGCTAGACAAGAGGAGATACATATGAACAAAATGCACGAAACATTGCGCGTCGCGATTCTAGGCCCAACGGGCCAAAATCGTGCCATGCGATACTTCTCGCACTCTTGACCGGCACATCGCACGAGGTGTATCCAGCTTGTCTCCCCGCAATCCGAAGACAAAGCAAGTATCGGCTCGCTCTGGCCTCCCGAACAGAGCGAGCGTATTCACAACCTGTACCCTGTCGACTTGCTGGGGATCTGACATAGACCCATATAGCCACCCATTCTCGACGGGTGTGGACGTTGTGGTCAGTGCGCTGAATGGGAAAGGCCCTGGGACGCACAGGGCAAGGTACAAGATGCTGCCGGCAAAGGCCGGGGTGAGACGGTTCTATCCCAGCGAGTACGGAATGCACCATGTCTACCGACCCCGACTCGGAGGATGACAATTATGGGGGTATCTACCATCCTGTACGCGGTCGAATTCATCCCCGTCCTATCGCACGGTGGCCAGCTAACTCGGCTACCAACGATGTAGATCCTGGAACGCAAAGTCCCAGGCCAAACGAGCGAGCTCTGCATCATCCAGCAATTGCGTCTGGGGAAGATGACATACACGCTCATCGGCTGCGGGGACTTCTTACAACCAACCCTAGGGAAGCGACCCGGTGTCCATGGACGCAACCCAATGCGTCCTCTTACCGGATCATCATCTTGGGTGATCCAGATGCTAAAATTGACTTCACAAACATTGATGACCTGGCCGAATTTCTGGTCGAGACAATCAATCACCCTGAGCTGTCGGAAAACCGGACACTGAACTTTGTCAGCGATCGGAAGAGCTACAATGAGATCGCTGGTTTGCTGGAGACTCACTCCGGGAGGCCTGTGGAGAGGCATTTGCTTCCGGTCGAGCTGATGCATCGCGTCTGGAAGAACAGGGACAACATCCCCGAGGAGTTGCGGGGAAGAAGCGTGTTTCCGGAGGATTTTTGGATTCTAGTCAAGGGGATGCAGGGCTCTGGGAGGCTTTGGAGGCCGCCTGGGGAGGTACACAATGACTTGTTCCCGAGAGTGAAGCCCAGGACATTCGAGGAATATTTGAGCGAGATGTTTGGAGCATAGGTAGCCCATCCCTCCTGCTATTTGAATGTCACGAAGTACTTGCCTTCTTTGATTTCTAGGTTGGATTGAACGGTTCCTGGTTGTCACCGACAGTCCTTCTCTCGGTTTCTGTTGGTCTATCATTAGGGCAGATGACCCGCCACCGAACAACATGAATGTCTCTGAGTGAGATTCCATGGATTGATCTCACGGAAGACAGTGCCGCAGGCGTATGGGTTAACATCACTATTAGCAAGGACGCGTCTACCCCGTCATTAGCGCTTAGCTGCGGATTGATTGGACTATGATGCATATAAGTCAAGGCACCATGCTGTAAGGATGAGCGTAGACTTCCGCTTATCGAGTTACGCTGATTGTATAGCCTACCCGCGACATGTCAATCTCATACTATCGTATG